TTTCCCTAGCAATCGGGGCATTGTAGGCAGTACACAGCTAACATCTTCAGGAGCAAGTCTGGTTTTGGACACATAAATAGAACAAGAAGAAGGGCCATGAAGGTGAACGAAAGAGTAAAAAGATGCATTATTTTTAGAAAAAGGACAAGGAGAGTGCAAGATACATTCAGAAAAAGAAGAAGCCAGTATCATGAGCAGGAAAACCATAACTTTTATTGAGCAGACATACTCCTCTCTCTGCCACCTGGTTCTGCTGATGAGCAGGTCACTCCCCATTCTGCCTACCAGTTTTCCTATGAGTAAGGTGAGGGCAGTGATACTGACCCTTGTAAAGACTGTATAATGATCCCAAATGTAGGCAATGGCTCCCATGCAGCAGCTTCAGCATCAAGCACATCAGAAGCTTAATAGACAAGTGCTGCTCTATGCCTACTGCCATTTATTTATTTATATGCTTGTGCAAAACCAATGCAGATGGAAACCCCTGGAATTACACAGATTCCCAGCTCTTGCTTATTACATGTGCTAAAATAAACTTCCCATCTTACTACAGAAGTAAACATTGCTATTTAAGGACAGCTCAAGTTACCCTAACTTAAGAAAATCAACCTTGTGTCTTGTAGTCACACAGGAGACTTCCCTCACCACATCCAGCAAGGGGAAAATTTTGTTGCTTGCTCTCTCTGATTTGGAAATAGCAGTTCCAAATAAATTGTTTTGTTAGAATCAGTGAAGTCAGAGCAATGGACACTATGGGGGACACTAAAACTCCCAAATTGCCCCAAATGATGCATTTCTGCTCTGTTAATTAGCTCTGGATCACTAAACCATTCAGCCCAAGAGACAAATACATTTTTTCTGATAGAAGGAATTGAAAATTGGCACAGAGGCTTGCAAACACTGTTTGAACTGCTTCTTGCATCTAAAAAGACTTATTGATACAGATGCACCCTTAGGGCCCTTGCCAGTATTCATTTAGGGCCACTATCTAAAGTTAGCTACCTAAAAAGGATAAAAAATGTGGATGTGGAGGCTCATCTACTGGACAAGTTGTCATCTACAGCCATTGTTTCTGTGTTCATTCCCAAGTTTTTGTAACATTGGAGTCATGGTTTAGACTGGATATACCAGGAAAATTAGTCTAAAATGCAGTGTCCAAATAATGAAATTATCCCCAAATCTGACACTGGAAAAGAATAGTATTTACATAATTCAGGAGGTCACAGCCAAATGCCAGAAAGGAAACTGACCGACATAACACAACCAGATTGTCAGCGCTCTCTGGCCTAATGTTTGCTACAAATGCAGGAATCCTTCATTGCCTCATTTATCAACTGTTGCACCTATGTCCCTGGCCTAAACTTAGGGGCCTTCTACTTCAGGTCATTTCAGTGCATCCAGGCAGAATAATTTTCAGGATCAAACTGTCACCCTCTATTTGTATGCCAGTATTTGCAAGGCTGACTTTCCAAATAATTTGTCTCAGCATGTTACCCCTGTCCGACATCAGTGTTGCTTGTTGAGTAACCAAGGTGACAGATGTTGCTGCATGTGTCCCTTTTCCCACTCCTGTTACCTGGTGGCACTGCACAGTCATCTTGGCCTCTCTACCTATGAAACAGGTGTAATTGAGCCTATTCGTTTCCCCTCCTTTCCTCTCCCTGACCCTCTTTGACCTTCCTTGACTTTCCTTTCCCCTCCTTGCCCTTCCTTGTCCTTCATTGCCCTTGCTTTCCCCACCTTTCCCTTAGACTTCAGGAGGAAATTCTTCACTATGAGGGTGGTGAGATGCTGGAACAGGTTGCCCAGAGATTTTGTGGAGGTCCCATCCCTGGAAGTGTTCAAGGGCAGGTTGGATGGGGCTCTGAGCAACCCGATCTAGTGGAAGGTGACCCTGCCAAACCAGGGGGGATAGATCTAGATGATCTTTAAGGTCCTATCCAAGCCAAACTATTCTCCCTTCTAAGCCAGACCATTCTATGATTTTATGATTATAAGATTCAGAAATTCAAAGCTGAGGTTAAATTAAAGGAAACGCAAAGCTGCTAAGCTATAAAATCCCATTATTTTACAGCCTAAGCACTCTTAATTCTGCATTGGAATGATACTGTGGAATAACAACTCTATTATATACAAACACAACAGCATTATAGAAAAGTCAAATTAGATATGATTTTCAACTGCAAAGTAATGCTAAATGTCCTACAGACATTTTTAAGTACCACATCTTCCATCCCCACGTCTTCTAATTTAAATAACTTTCATAAATTTGAAGATATTGAACACAGGAAATACTAAATTATTCAATTACTCCAGAATTTTTAAACAAATTTGCAGTTATGTTCCTAATTCTTCATAATTTTTGCCCCACAACATAAAGTTAAAAAATAAGTTTACATGCAATGATTTCAAGTTATATAACCACATTTAGGCAAAGACTTGGAATATTTGAAGGAAGTCAGTTTTGTAAAGAGTGAGACTATTTGTACAGAAACATGCAAAGTTGATAAGCAGTAATCCCAGCACACATTTTACAAAGAGTATAGTGGCTTCCTTCTATATCCATGAGCTACTCATGTTATAAATCAGCACACTGCAAGACAACTGTTAGATTAGTGAGAGACATTAATGGAATTCAGGAAATAATGTAAATTAAGCACATTTGAAATTTATTAAACATCTGCTTACTTACAAGTCTTTAACAACAACAAAAGAAAATTAAACTGGCCAAATTCTTGAGAACATTTTTAGGTATTGTGTGGTTTCAACAGAGGCAATGTATGAAGAAGAGATTGCAAAAAGAAATGCTAAATAATAAGTAATAGACTTTATATAAACAGTTAGGTTTTGCTTCTTTTTTAATATATTTATCATATACTCTGCTTAGTCAATGTTTTTTTAGAGAAGAACTGGAGTGCTAAAATATCAGCAAGTAGCTGCAGTTTTTTGATCTGGCAAGGGACTTTGACATGGTCTTGCCCCAAAGTACCAGAAACTATTCACACTTTTGGAAACAGATGAAAGGAATTTATATGCTTTATATGTTAAAATAATTTCAGTTTTTCTTAATCTTCAGTTCAAACTAAACATAAACAATTAAACTATAAAGGAGAGAAGCCACGATACAATGACAATAACCATTTTGGAAGAGAAAACAGATATGAAGTTTACAGAGAGGAGTAAATTCAAAGCCTTTTAAAATAATGTGTTCTTTTGTCCTAGGTCACCAAAAGATCAAAATTCTTAAGAAAGAACCGAAAATCTCCCCGCCCCCCCCGCCTTTTCATAACATGAGCTACAACCAGCTTGAACAACATTATTGTGTTTTTAAGCAAAATAAGATAAAATGGGACAGGAATGAGGAATGTTTGACTTTTATTTTTTTTGCAAAGTTTAACAAAAAAAAAAAAGCATAGTTTTTTTACTGAATAGAGAAAACAAGCCACTTTGTCCTTATCTTTTCTGACCCTGAGAAGACCAGGGCAAGCTGGGGCAAGGATTCAAACAAAGATGTTCAATGATCCAGGCAAATACCTTAGGGCTACTGGCTTCTTCAAAGAGCTTATTCCTGCCCTTTCTCGTATAAATTAAATCTGAGATGTAAGAATATTAAGACTTTTTTTTAGAACTCAAATTCACCTCTGAGAAAAGTTTTGTTTTGAGAAAGAGGTATTTTCCAAGTTAGTAGTGTTTTGTCAAAAATGTCCTGGACAGATTTCTTTACTTTCTCTATGTACATTTACAGACTTTGTTCATTTAGAGACCCTCATACCATAATCTTTGCAATTCTTTGCAATTTCTTTTCACATATTATCATGACACTACAGGTACAATTTTTTCTTGGTACATGTTTTCAAGTTTACAAGTAGTCTTTTGAAGTAAGTCTTGAAGTTTAGTTACATTGCAGAAGCAAGGGGAGCGAAGTTGGGTTCATTACTTTATTAATGTTTTTGACAAAATTAGTGAGTCAAATAAAAACAACTATTAACTTCCAAAGTTTCTGTGAAGAAGGAAATGGCCCCTAAAAATACAACTGCTACTTCTCAATTACTTCAACAAAGTGATAGTATTACCTATTAAGAATCACCTGACAGCTTTCATCCTGCTACTTTCTAAGCAGATGACACTAAGAGCTAGTTCAGATGACACTAAGAGCTAGTTTACTCTACAAAAATATATTTATGATCTTCCAAAGAAAAGAAAAAGTAGGCTGGTTCAACAGTCAGATATTTTCAAGTTTCACAATTGACAAGGGATTTTAGGGCTATCCTTATTTTTAAAATAGCCTATCAATTGAAGTGATGGTGAATTAAAAATTCTTTGGAGCTGTGGTTGGTTAAAATAGGAAAATGCATTTAGGCTTCTTTGTATAATTACTTTAATTGTAATTACACAGCTATCATATTAGGGGGTGTTGAACATGCTATTCCTAAATCATTCTTTCCCGACAACTTAATTTTTATTTCTGCTTTTAAAGGTCATTTCAGCAATGATCTCCACAATTATGCAGCAGATGAAAGGAAAGTAAACTTTTATCCCCTTCATTGTACTGACCGTGGGTAGTATGAAAGAATGGAACCACTTTTCAGTAAAATTTTTGAAACTGTCTGGGTGACTTGGAGATCCACTTAGTGAAAACCAACATGCTTGCACCGATAGCATACATATAAAAAGATATATCACATGGACATGAATGCTTTCAAGATCTTAAAAAAATAATTCCTTTGGACTTGAATGCTGAAAATTAAGAAAACCTCTAGTACAACACAGGTCCTCAAGAACAGGATTCTCAAATATCCCATTTACCTCCAAAGGTGTCTGATGGTTCCCCAAATAAGTTATCCCTAATGATCTGCTACTGCATGTAATCAGCACATATCAGTTTGCTAGGGATGAGGACATCTTAACACTACCTCAAAATAGATTGTCAGCCAGTACATTCTCTCTACCTATTTCACCCTAAGACTCAGGATAGTAGAAATACTCAAAATAAATATAATACATGTTCTGTTTAAAAAGATCCACATTATGGAGGAGTGATGTGTTCTTCTTTAGACCAACTTAATGAAAAGTAATTGAATAAAATGCCCAAGCAACCCTTAGAACTGAGATTTTATTCATATTTTTTTCTTCCCTCCTTTAAACTAAGTGTTCTAATCATGAAGTCACAGAAGAAAGTGATCTTTTTTTTTTTTTTTTTTCAGAAAATAGCAATACCGAATTTTCTTCTGAAAGATGAAAAAGGCCTCTAGCCCAGTCCAACCTATTTTCTAGTGTTTTAAGACTCTCAGCTTAAAAGTTCAATGGAAGTCAAGGTCTTTCAAACATAGTAAATTCATACATGCGATCAGATTTTTTTGTTTTAAATGCTGATTGCCACCATATACAGAAATAGATGAAGATGCCTCAAGATGAGGAAAGAGCTATAGTTTACAGATGGATTATAATGCAGAAACCAGTGAGACTTGACTGTATCAATCTATAGCCTGAGGGCGTGTGGGGCTATGGAGTCTTAATAAAATATAACTATCATTGTTAAGGCTCAATCTAAATTCTGATGTCTCAGTGCTAATAAAATATATTCAGGGAACTGCAGAAAATTTAACTTATGTTTCTGTTTATGAACCACTGCAGAGACATTCAAGGCAACAAGCATCTTTTAAATCATTGTTACACTGTGTTCTATATAGAAAGAAGAGATTAAAAAAGAGGAGAAAGCTTCTAAAGTGATGTGGAGAGGGAAAGGTACTCATTGTGGTCATTGGTAACAGCCCCACTCAGAGCAGAACGAACGGGTGTGAGAAAAGAACAAAAACTGAAAAAACTCAATCGTTGTGAACAAGAGGTTATGTTGAGCAGGAAAAAAAGGGTAGGAGCAGGCCCATGGAATTTTACTGTGAGTGTTAAACAATTACACAAACCAAGTTCAAAACCAATGTATTGGAAACAAAGAAAAGATGGGGCTCTTACTGGCACATCAAAAGCAGTTACTGTAAGTGACTGTCTCATTCTTATTACAGCAAGGTCCTGAAATAAATATTTCTGTCCTTCATCTTTCTGTATTTCTCCTAAGTTGAGTGCAATACTATTCAAGAATAGTCTTTTCTTAAGCTGCCATACAAAACTGAACTTACTGTTTTGGATACAATGGGGAGCATGTCCAAGCAAGCACCTCTGTATTTTTAGAAGCACTGTTTACACCAAGTAGTTTTATTGTCAGCATAGTTTCCCTTGGAAGAGCCTTTATTCGTAGAGGAAAGTTGATTCTAAAAGAAAATGAGAAAAGACAAACAAAAAAAAGTTTTTAAAAAAGAGAGCTTTGTTACCACAAGTGGGTCCTTTGTACATTTTTCTAGATTTCTTAATATATATATATCAAGTTATAAATTACAAGAGTTATTCTCTGAAAGAAAATGCAAATGACAGATCCCTTCAACAAACTGAGGAATACTTCCAACCATTAACTTTGGTTATAGCACTTGAGAAAACTCATATAAAACCTCATTCACTTCAGCAGTAACCAGGAAAGCTGACAATGTCTTAATTAAAGCTTTTGCTTTAGAATTACCTTATCAATGAAGGGCTAGTTCAGAATAAGCACCCCCTATGGGCAAATAGTAAACCAACAGTTATTTGCCTTCTTGTGTCTTCAGAGGAAAACACTAAAGAAACTAAGAGTTGCTTGTGAGTAGAGCATGATGATCATTCTCCTGTTCAGATGTGCTTTGGTGCTGTGGTATTTCCCGATCCCAATTTGAAGGGAGATTTTTGTCTTAACAGCAATGATTGATTCACATTTTCCAGTGAGAAAATTCAGATCTATTAACATCAACCCCAACTTTTCATTGACATTTAGCAAACTTGGCTGTTCATTCAATTTGTTGATAGAGATTACATAAACTGATTTAAAACCATAATTTAGAACAATTTTAATAAGGCTCTTTCATGCTGTGTGGAAAAATAATGTGTAATTACCCAGACATGAGCAAGTCTATTTTATTTGTCCAAAAGAGAAAGTTTACAGAGGATGGTATATTACTAGCTTTTTCCACGCATATTCAATGCAAACTTAAATTTCTTGTGTGAAAAATTAAATTAATTACATTTGTATCTAGAAACAAAATCAGTATAAGGCTTTTGACACAGTCTCCTATAATATCCTTGTGAGCAAGCTCAGAATATGTGGGATAAAAGAATGGATAGTGAGATGGATTAAGAACTGGCTACAGACTAGAGCCCTAAGAGTGGTGGTCACTGGTGCAGAGCCCAGCTGGAGACCTGTAACTAGTGGAGTCCCTCAGGGAACACTGCTGGGTCCAGTCCTGTTCAAAATCTTTATTAGTGACCTTGATGAAGGGACAGAGTGTCTTCTCAGCAAGTTTGCTGATGGTATGAAGCTGGGAGGATTGGCTGATTCACCTGAAGGCTGTGTGACCATTCAGCAAGATTTGGACAGGCTGGAGAGCTGGGAGAAGTGGAACCTAATGAGACTCAACAAGAGCAAGTGCAGAGTCCTGCACCTGGGAAGGAACAACAAAATGCACCAGTACAGGCTGGGAGGTGATCTGCTAGAGAGCAGCTCCATGGAGAAAGGCCTTGGAGTCCTGGTAGACAACAAGGTATCCATTGGACAACAATGTGCCCATGTGGCCAAGAAGGCCAGAGGAGTGTCTCCAGCAGATTGAGGGAGGTTCTCCTCCCCCTCTACTTGGCCTTGGTGAAACCTCACTTGGGAGTATTGTGCCCAGTTTTTGGCTTCTCAGTTCAAGAGGGACAGGGGTTTACTTGAGAGTGTCCAACAGAGGGCTAGGAGGATGATTAAGGGACTAAATACCTGCCTCACGAGGAAAGGCTCAGAGACCTGGGGCTTTTCAGTCTACAGAGGAGAAGACTGAGGGGGGATCTAATTAATGTCTATAAACACATGAGGGCTGGGTGTCAAGAAGGCAGGGACAACCTCTTTTCACTTGTGCCCTGTGATAGCACAGGGAGCAATGGATTAAAACTTGAGCACAGGAGTTCCACCTCAACATGAGGAATAACTTCTTTACTCTGAGGCTTATAGAGCACAGGAACAGGCTTCCCAGAGTGATTGTGGAGTCTCCTTCCCTGGAGACTTTCAAGACCTGTCTGGATGCCTTTCTGAGTGATCTGCCCTAGCTGTTTTTGGGTTTTTTTTTTTGGTCCTGCTCTGGCAGGGCAGTTGGCCTTGAAGATCTTCAGAGGTCACTTCCAACCCCTAATATTCTGTGATTCTGTCAAAATTCTATTGGCTTCAGGAAGATTTCCTTGAGTGCACTGAGGAGTCACTCAAAGAAAGTAGATGGGTTTTAGCTGAAATTCTGAAAGACTCCAAAATAACACTACTGTCAAAATTTCAGATGATGAATCCTAAACATTTGGAAATTATTTAAATTTGCATACCTTTCTCTTTGAGTAAAAATGCACGACAGCAATTTCCCACTCTTTCTAATTAACATGAATAGAATTAAGAAGCAATTCTCAACTGTCTTCCCACATGTCCCTGTATATAGTTTTCAACTCTGTTTTCCTTGTCTCATGCCCTCTTCCTCAGTCCTAATTAGTTAGAAACAATTATTAGGAAATTAAGCTGTTTTACATGCCACAGAGAGCTCATTCTTTTTCACTTACAGACCAACAACTCTGTCCATGTTACATGAAACTGTTCAACAAAGAGTTACACTTAACTTTAAAGCATCATTAAACCTGTGGAGAGACAACAATTAAAAATAGAGACATGCATCTTCCAATACAGATATTTGCAAGCACTCCTGGTGAGCTTAGAGCAACAAAAAAACCCTCACAATACCTTCACTGCAGAAAGCAAATGCTTGCCAAAGGTTTCCTAGGACTCGAGATATATATGTAGCATAACCAGATGTACACCAGTGGGAAAAGAATCTAGAAACTTTGACTAGAGTTAGACATCCCAGCAGTTAAAGTATGAGCCAAAGACAAGCAAAACTTCCCTTACAGTGACAAGTGATACATAGAGAAGGGGAATATCTGTATTGCTTTTAAAAGCTTTGATTAATGCCTGTGTAAGCTTGCCCAGTTTGTATCATCCTTTCTGACTGCATGAGGCTGAGTCAAATGGATGACTAAGAAGAAGAAGGAGGAAATGTAACAGTGGCCAGAAATAAGACACCCTGTGGGTTAACAATTTCAACAGCAGCTGAGAACAGAAAAGTTACTCACTGAAAAGGAATGTGTCCCAGCTCATTATGGGAGAGTCAATACTAGATGATTTTTAAGGTCCCTTCTAACCCAAACCATTCTATGATTCCATGAAGCTGCTTTCAAAAGCTAAGGGCCTACTATCATAAAAGAACTCAACACAGATCAGCGCTGGGGCAACCGAGCCTTTGGCCCAGAAGGGTATGAACAAAGAATGGTAAATAATGGTAAGCTTAATGTAAATTAATTAGAGCTACAAAGATGATTAAAGGAGTGGAACACCTCCCTTATGAGGAAAGGTTGAGGGAGCTGGGTCTCTTTAGCTTGGAGAAAAGGAGACTGAGGGGTGACCTCATCAATGTTTACAAATATGTAAGGGGTGAGTGTCAGGGGGACGGAGTTAGGCTTTTCTCAGTGATGACCAGTGATAGGACAAGGGGTAATGGGTGTAAATTGGAGCATAGGAGGTTCAACGTGAATATCCGAAAAATTTCTTTTACTGTAAGAGTGACAGAGCACTGGAACAGGCTGCCCAGGGAGGTTGTGGAGTGTCCTTCACTGGAGACATTCAAAACCCACCTGGATGCATTCCTGTGTGATGTACTCTAGGTGACCCTGCTCTGGCAGGGGGGTTGGACTAGATGATCTTTCGAGGTCCCTTCCAGCCCCTAAGATTCTATGATTCTATGATTCCATATTTCATGTCTGTAGGTTTAAAATAAATTGCAAAGGATAGAAAAAAGGAGAGATGGTGGAATAAAGATATTAAAAGCAACGAGCTAAGATGAGACAAATAAAATAATTAAGAGGTCTCAGTCATTGAAATATGAAGCTGATGAGAAAATAAGAGAACAACTTTTGGACTCTATGTATATGTGCTAGAAATTATCAATCTGTTCAAGCTCTACAGCAAGGTAATAATCACGCTTTTCAAAGAAAACTCACAAGTTCTAAAATAAAAAATACACTCTTAAGAAGGACAAACAGAAGAAACACTAAACAAGGCAATATCCTTGGGTAAAAAACAATTCCTGTCTTTTCTCAAAACATTCTGGTGAATACTTAATATAGCGAAGACTTCAATAGAAACCCATGTTTAAACACAAAAAACTATGAATGTAAAGTTCAGACAATACCTAGTTAAAGCACTTGAAAATACACACTAAATACATGAAAATCAGCAAATAAAGCAAGTCTAATAGAAAATCTCTCCTTAGATTCCTAATAATCCAAACAGTACCCCCTGTTGTTTGGGGTATTTTTTTTCTTCATTTGAATCAATCCAAATCTAAGATCAGGTCTCATTTTGAATTAGATAGGTTTATTTTTTATTTTATTTTGCTTGATTGATCCCTAAATGTGTAGAGAAAATTTGACTTTCTAATGTAATACAAGGTCTTCCTGGTGACCTTTCTCCACATGTTATTTTCAACGTCTGTGATCAACTGGAAATAGGGTTAGATTGAAAGTAGAGCTCAAGGGAAGAAACATGAAAAAAAAAAATATGAAATTGTCTCCTCTGTAAACTTTTCCTGCACACATTTTTTCTTCTGTTTCAGAAAGGTGATATTATAGCCAAAAGATAACTAAGAGTGAACATAGTTTCATTACAGATGAGTGACCCAGATTTCCTACAACTAGAAATGCTGCCACTAGGTGACATGGAAAACCAGTAATACTTCATTAAAATACTTTATTTTTTTATGAATTCCAGCTTGAATTCTTGCAAAAAGTATTGATTACTGTTTATATACTTGTATTTATTGCAAGAAAGCCAAACCAGCTTGTTCCTGAGTACGTATTATGTCAGTTAGGCACATAGCACCTTCAGTGATTACATAGCACTAGCCCTACTGTTCCTTCTCTATGTCTGTTCCAAAATATTGTGAATATACTTATTATTCTGTCAAGTTTGGTGTGATTTTTTATTCTGTTTTAGAGGCATAGCAACACAAATAGCAAAACCACATTTTCTCATTATAGAACTGTAGCAACTCTAGATCTAGCTTCTGATCTTAAGAGCCTCTTACAAACATCTGTGACCTATGGAATAATTTGGCCTGCACACGTAACTGCTTCATTTTCCAATAGGCTTTTTGATGGAATAGCAGACTTTTAATACTAATTTTGCAGAGGGAGAGGTTAAAACACAAACCCTCAAGTTTTATTCTGATTTCTTTATTTTTTCATGGAAATGGAAGAAGGCAAGAGTTTCTGTTCCATTTGTGTTTAGAGAATTTATTTCTATTCTATCATTTTATATTTTGTATTAGAAAAAGTTTATGCAAGATGCATACCAGAAAGTCTTTAGTCACTTTTTAGAAGGTAAAAATGCTCATAAGCAATATAATCCCTCTTCAATATTTGCCCATGTCTGCCTTAAGATAGTACTTGACCAAAACTTGGACAAGATGAAAATTCCTACAGAACAAATGGGACTAATCCAATTTATTTATTTTTTAAACACAAGGACAAGTGTTACTTTCCCATCATACAGAAGGCTGAGGGCTCAATGCTTGAACTCTGTGGATTCAACTGAAGCACTAAAGCAGATATTAGGCCCTAAAAACCCAGTTTGTCTGCTTAGCAGGAGTGCATCCCTCCTGTTTCCTAACCATAGGGCAGACATAATAAGCTTGCTATAACTGTTCAGGAATGTTGTGCAAGAAGGCTACACAAAATCTCCATTAAGACAGATTTGGTAACAGGGTGGACCTAAAAAGGTCTTCCAGTTGACCAGCTTCAAACTGTTGTGCATCTTAGATAAAGGTAAACAGAACTTATGAATTACACCCTGTATTAAATTATAACTGAAAAAAAAATCTCTTTCAGATGACATGTAGTCTTTGTTTAATTATAATATCATCAGGCTGCTATCAGATTCAGGATACAGGAAGCCCTGCTGAAAATGCCAAAAATTTCAAAATTTTAAATATAAACATATCACGCTGAGGAAGCTGGAAGAATAAAGTATTAGCACAAAATAATAAAAACTTGTGTACTTTTTCCGTGCCATGTATTGCAAATATGCCTTTTATCAACCCATTGCTTTAACTGAATGTTGTTTGAGGGAGCACTTCTGTTTTCAATGGAATTATTTTCCTCAAAGCAGCCAGGCAGGTGTCAGGCAATTGGTAGCCTTTATAATACCAGTCTCATATTGTGGTTCCTTCTTAAAAAAACCCCACAAACAATAAAAAACCAACCAACCAACCCAACCACTGAAAACCAAAAAACAAAACAAACTAAAAACAAACAACACCCCCTCCAACACAGTAAAAAACCCAACCACATCAGCTGTGTTCTTTGTTAAAAAAGAACCCTTAAAGAAATACTAGTAGTTTCTCAGGTTGGAATGCACACCTGTTAGAGGCAGATCCAAAGGGCAGAAGTCCTCAAAAGAGACCAGAAATACAGCCTTCGGTTGTACCTCCTTTCAGTTCCACTTTATTTCTCTAGGATGCCCCAGTGAATGACAGTCTCAGACCAGCTTAGTTTAGGCAATTCTTTGACAAGACTTATCTCAGTCCTATTTCTCTTCCTCTGCCTCTCCCACTACCTTCTCATTCCCATCTCTTGCTCAGAAGAAGATCCATAATAAAGACATGGCTCTTTTTTGTTTTGTTTTGTTTTAAATTAGTATTCAATATGTAAAATCTGTCAGACTTACTTCTCATTCCAGTCAACTAGGAAAAAAAAGGATCTTTTAGCCGGTGCATTTTTGCAAATCTTCACTTGACATATTGTCTTCCCAGCGTAAGTTAATGAACAGGAAAAAGAGAAAACTTTGTAGCTACAACGGGGAAAAAGAAAAGAAAAAGAAAAGATTAATTGTAATGTACCACATCCAGCACAGTAAATCTGGGGCTAACCATTCAGAAACTTGTGACAACCATCCTAACAGGAAGAATAGAAAAAAAATAATCTCAGTTTAATGTCAGTGGGTGGAGAGGGAGTATTTTGGGTGTTTTGGGTTTTTTTTTAATTTTTGGAATTCAAGAAATTACTTAGCACACCTAGATTCTGCTCCATGTTTTTGTCATTAAGACTGATTTTTTTTTTCATCATTCAGTCAATGGAATTTTGGACACAACTTCATCATACAACTTCAGTCAACAGTAAATCTATTTATACTTACTTTTCCCAATATAAAAAAACAAAAACAAAAAAACAACAGGCTAGTAATTAATCTATACACTTATGATGGCAGAAACCATAATTTTTCAGATTACTGAATTTTCAGATTCAGATTATCATTTTTCAGATACTTAACTGACTTGAGTCACAGCATAAATCAGGTCTGGGGCTGTTGGTTTATTATTCTTCTTACTGAAATCTTATAAAATTTTAGGCAAGGAAGAGGAATAATGTATATTTAGCTAGTAATCTTAATTGGTCTTGTAACTTCCAGATCTTCTTGCCACTCTCAGTTTTAGATCCATTCTATACAAGAATGAGGAACATGGGAAAAGGAGTCAAACATGAACAGCAAATCTAAAGCAGTTGCAGACTGAAGATGCCTGGCTTTACCTTATTTACAAACATGATGGTTGGTTTCTTCCAGAATATTATAGTAACTCTTGTAATTGTTGTAGTAGATAAGCTTTTTCTCTCAGTCTTTTTTTTTTTTTTTAAATTGAAAGAAAAAGGGTTGAGAATCTCTAGTACCTAGGAGTTATTGATGTAGAGAAAGGAAAAATTACCTTAAAAGACTAAAAAATGCTTCTGCTCTTAAATACGGCATCTTTCCTCTAGGGTTTAAATATTACAAACAGTTGGAGCATAGCAAAGGAAATAATAGGTTTTAATACAATCAAATGAATAAGCATTGCTGCTTAAACAGAAGTATTGATACACCAATATACATACATATCCCTGATTTATACACCATAAGAACCTAATCCTGGAAAGATTAAAGATTACACAATGCTTCAGTCTGACTGAAGTCAGAGAGGTTCTTCAGAGTGTATGTACTTCAACCCATTTGGGGTCTTTGTAGAGCATTTTGCCTTTTTAGCCCCCCTGTGAGTTCAGAGGCATGACACTATAGTCTTGACCTAAAGATCACTTCATAGCATCCAGTTGTAGGTAGGAATCTGATTTTTTGGAGCTGTAGAAAAAAAAATGCAGCCAAACATGAAGCTAGCAGCATTATGCCACTGGCAGCAAATACAGCACATTTGCTTGGGATTTAAATGGGATAAAGCAACAAACTGATAAAAAAACCAAGAGGAAATTAAAGTGCAGTAAAGGAAGAAGGGTAAACAGTTTTGCAACAGTATTCTGAAACTCATGTCTGCACCTATATTTTTAATGAGGACTGTAAGACTGGAATAAGAAATTGAGGGCATAAATATAAAAATTGCCAAGAAAAAAATTGAAAAATTGAAAAAAGAAAAAATTGCCACAAAAGTAAACTTGAGATGCTCTTGACAGGACACTAATGTGATTCTGTATAATACAAGACAACTCACTCTCCTTTATCCCAAATGATTAAAAGAAGACTGTTTACCACATACTGGTATGCATAGAAAACAAACAATGAGAGACAGTGAGGGATGTCAAAATTCTAACATTTATAATGCAAATATTATATATATGCAGGAATATATGTTAAAATGCATGTTGCAAACAGCAGCCAGATCATAAAATGTGATCTTCAGGAAAACAAAAGCAGTGACATAACCAGCACAAATGCAGTGAGTATAGATATAAAGGAGTATGCGTATGAATTAAGTTAGTAATAGTATTTGAGGAAAGCAGATGTCAAGAGCAGCAGTCCATGTTAAGAACTCCATGCTAGCTATAAAATTGGAAAGAGTTGAAAAGGAGATTAAGAAGGAAGAGAGATTCTCATTTTCACATGCTTGAACATAGCATTCAAGTCATCAGAGGCCTCTGGGCCATATGTAATTTCACATTTTTCTGGTGGAACATAAAATGCAGTGGGGATGGTATGACCATCTGCAAAATCAAGACAGTGATTACAGTTCTGTATTATTACTTTAACTAATGCAAATTCTCTCAGATTTTTATTAAACTGTGAATTACAGTTAATGTTGTATAGTACAGTCTCTTGCTCACAGTCAAATGATCCCAGAGATTTTTCATCAGTAATTTGGAATTAAAGGTAAAGTGGGAGCAGGGGGAAAGTATCCATTAAAACTTGGAGAACAGCATTTTGACTCATAAAAGTAATGGTACCAGACTGCAGTCACCTGTCCTCTTTTGGTCACAAAGGAGTGGTAAGAGGAGAAAAGCAGTTTTAGTCAGAGCAGGAAAAGCAGATATTTGAAGAGACAACTAATTTGACCAAATAAACATTCCAGAAGAGAATGCTTTGATCAACTTTTTATTACAGTTATTTCCCCCTTTCCTATGCTACACTGATATACTTGCACCTCTAAATTATATTTATTTTAATCACCATCTATAAAGATGATTGCTAATGCACATGCCCAGCCAAGTAATGTGGTTTGAATACACCAAGAGCAAAAAAGTACTGATAAAGCCTCATTCAGAGTGGGTTTAAGCAAAAGCACCTCTTTGTTTACCTTGGTAAGTTGGCCTTCAACCCTTCCAGTTACTTGTACAGCAGACGCCACACCAAGTCCCCATCCAAACGGGCATGCAGCCCACACACTTTTCTCCCTCCTGCTGGGCAAACTGGTCACGCAAGCACTTGTACACATACTGTTAAGGCCAGTGCTCTGACATTGCTTCTATTACCATCCTTCCACACTGGTCAGGGGCAACCCCCTAGGTCACCTACCTTGATTCTCCATCCATCTATGGGGCTTGGAAGTCTCCTAGTCAGTCAAGCTTAATTAAATGCACTTTATGCTAGCAAATCAGTGGAGATACACGCACTTACTCAGTCCCTAACATTAACATAGAAGTATCATAAAAGCAAGAGGAGTAAACTAGTATCTGTGAAAAACAGGTGAACTAAGAGACAACACCTCTTCTTGTGAACACCTGCTGGCTCTCATCCTACCTGTTCACCCAGGCTTCTGGGATATTATGGGCAGCATAAACAGTGAAGCTGAGCTGGGAATCTAGGCTGATGTCTGCACATGAAAAGCTTTTAGGTATGCTGGCAAGCTGGAAATCTGCATCAAAGCTGCAGCTGTAAACATGGATGAGACGAGAGATGGCCATGGAGAGGTCAGTCACAGCAGCCTCTATTAGAGCTGAGAGGGGAGAGAAAAATAAATAAAGGTTAGCAACAGATCATTTATGAAGAACCATATTTCTCTTGATCCATCAGTTACTGCTTTGAAATGCTTCCTAATAAAATTTAATTAAAATTACACAACCTACCAACTGAAGCCAATTAGCCATCTGTGCTTCTGAAACCAGCCTTAGCTCAATTCTGGTGTATCGTTAACAGTCTTTCATTACAGTGCTTTCAAATTAAGGCATTTTCAAAGTAAGCATTTTAAATTACAGCAAGTTATTGTGTGCCTCAGATATGCCATTTTAGTCTGTTAATTCTTTTGCTGGAAGGATTTTTATTATGTAGGTATTTTGTAATTTCAGCAACCAAGTAGCTACCTAATTCAAGGGAACTGGAAATGCAGCAGTAGAATGGAGAGAAGACACTGGTTAAGTTTTAAGACCATAAAGCTCTTGCAATTGTAGATAAACAATTAATAAAATATATAAAATAGCAGCCACAATTAGACATAGTCAGCATTCAGATGGTCATGGATTGGCAATAACGTTACACAATGATGGACATCGATAGGTTTTAGAAGTGATTGAAGTGTAGGCTTTAGCCTCATTTTTATCACACCTTTATTTATGTTATTTCCTCTGGCTTCATCTCTGCAGTGCTCTTTTTCTGCAATTACTGGCTTTTATCCATCTTCCCTCTCTCTGCTTTTGGAGCAGCTAGGAATTGCCTGATTGCCAGTGTAAATTAAAATCCCCAGACCTGGCAGCCTCCATCAAGAGAAGAGAGCTGGAATAAGCACTCATTTCTCAGGCATGGGACAGGCTGTGAGTGAAAGTTTCAGAGGATGTTCTATTAGTCCAAGATCAGGATGATTTGTCTTTTTATACTTGGGATAGGTGTAGGGGTCATGCTGAACATCAGATACAGATAGCATGACTCACCGGACCTAGCTATCTCAATCTCCCAACAGAAATGTCTCAAAAAAATATAACCTTGTTCTGGAATTTTATTCTTCTTCTTTGATACCATTTGCATTTAAACCCACAAATACTCAGAACTCTTGCACAAAATTTAAACTAATTATTTTAGTCTTTATTTTATAATAGACAAATTTTAAATATGTAACTCTAGATATACAGGTAAAATGAAAATAGTTTGACATAATAGTGGGGTTTGATACTGGAAAAGCTGATGAAGGACTGGCTAGAATACTACATCTTGTTGTGTTGTAATTATCTTCCAAATGTGAAAATGTATCAATTTTAGAGACCAGCAGGTTCCAAAAACACAGTACTTTTACTCTCTGTGTATACATCTCTGTCTAGCACTTGTTTTTTATTATCTTTTTATTTATTCTCTTTACTGTTTTCTGTATTTATCATCCTTCATCATAATTGTTCTGAATAAAACTTTTGCTCTAATTATTTTTTTCTGTCGGATACCATGTTAGTCTCATACTCAATTCTCTTGGATGTGCAATAACTTAGTACCTTGCAAACTTAATGTTTAATTTGCATTGTATTCTTTACAATCCAAGGAATTCCATACAGTCACACACATAAAGCCTTCTCAAGAAGTCCAGAAAAAGACAACAGTGGAATACTATTTTGATCCAGTAACACACTATTTACATCAAGGAAAAGCAGATACTTAGGTTCCAATCTCTTAAAAATGGCATACGGGTAGATGTAGTATAATAGCAAAGCCCTTATTTTTGGGAATTTGTCTATGGTATAGTTGCTGATTGCTGAGTAGAACTTCTCTGCCTGTTCTCAAGAAGCAGGTGAAATGTAGCTCAGAAGCTGTGTAGACTTCCCAATGTATGTTAAAATGTACACTTTGGACACCAGCAATTTTTACACAATCCATATTCTAGGCTGTTAGGCAATCTTTCAAATTTTGTCACCAATGCAAGAAGAAACCTATTATATTTCAGCTAAGCCACAGAAAGAAGGGAATACTCCTGGGACAAAAAAAAAAAACAAAACACACAAAAAAAACCCCCAAACAAAACAAAACAGAAGCCAGGAGAAACATATAGGATAGGGTAAATATTTTCCATAATAGAAATTTTTCACATGCTAGGCAGGGAAGTGAATGAGATGCAGATGCCTGTAGCTATAACCAAGCTATATTGTCCACTGACCATGTTTGCAGAATAGTGATTCTCATAATCTACCTGACATCCACCAAAACTGAAGAGAAAAACAGGAGAAACACAATTTTTGCCTCAATTATTTATAACATGCTTTAATCTGTCAGTGGTGAGGTGAAAAATGTTTCCTGGGTGCCAGGGACCTGCCCACCATGCAAGATCTATGTGGCTAGACAGGGCAACAGTCTTAACTTAGTTGCAGACAACAACTACAATACTCCCTGCTGAAGAGAGCTGGGAAATGTTCTTCTTTTTCTTCTCTCTTAAATTTCCACTTTTTACTTGTGGGCTTGCAATCCGTGTCTGAACGTAAAAACAGAGCCAGTTTGGAAGCAGGGCCTGGGGTGTGACTATAGGCTGTCTCTTTTGCTAAAATAGCATGTGGGGTCTGAAGACAGCAATGGGGGAACCACTTCAGCTCCCAGCAAAGGAGACAAGCAAAACTTCAGCATTACTTATCCGATTATTAGGAGATCCACAATGAAGATCATCTTTGGAACAAAATTCTACAGGTGTAAGCAAATGTCCAAGTACAGCTCGGTCTGCAGCTACAGGACTTTTTCTGTATTCATTTTCTGACTCTTGTCAGCTCTCAGTTTAAAATGACTCTGTGGTTTCTATGCCAGTCAGCCCTTTCCCTTTACCCCCCCCACCCCTCAATCTTCACTCATTAAGCCCCATAGCAATTAACTAAATTAGAGACAAACATCTTGGCTAGTCTGCAAGTGTCCATTACTCACAAGAGTCGGTCAGCATATTTTTATGAGCTGCTGAATAGGATTTGGTATTCTGAAATTATATTGTCTGTTCAAGAAGCCAGAGAGCTTTACTGTTTCTGATGACTTTTATGATTAATAAATCTTAGATGGGACAGGATTATGGTGTTTCACTGCTTGACATAGCACCGGCTGTGAAACTTCCTACAGTGGATTCACAGCTTCAGCTATGCCAGTTTATTTTCTAGAAAGGTGTCCCAGGCATAGCCAGTATCTAGGAGATGATGAATACACCACATCACAAAGGGAATTGTGACTGAGATTAATAATATCACAACCCAAACCTCAACATTTATTTTTAGTGTGAAATTATTTGGCATCACCTACTCACTGAAGGTGAGAAGAAATGAGACTTGCAAAAATGAGATGAGAGGAAGGGAAGTGAACTTCAACCACAGCTGCCAGTTAAGCTTATTTCTGACACATATTCCTTGTGCATCAAGTCTGAAGGAATAAATTTGTTCCTTGTTGAGAAACAGAACAATCCACACCATTCCTAAAAGTCTGTCTTCCTCATTATACCTGCAGGTGCCTTCAAAATTTAGTAAGGAATACACTAGCATATTCCTTATAGAAAAACACTTCTTCTCAGTCCAGTATTACAATTGACATATTATTTTAGTGTTAGACCTTCCAACACAGCACATACTTTACTGTTAATGCACTAGCAGATGATGTCAGTTTAATACATATTAAACATGCCCTCTCTGACTGCATTCGTGTATCTCTAGGTAAAACATGAAAAATATCTGGTTGAACAGAATTTGGAAGGAAGGCTTAAAACCCTTTTGACACCTTAAAGACATTTTGGAGAGCAGAAGCTTGATATTTTTCTTTCCTATTTATTTTCAGAGAGAAGAAAAAGAGCAAGATCCGAAATACAGTCTAGGTCATATGTACACACAAAACCCCCTGAAAAAAATCCCTGAGATTTAGGTGAAGTGCTAAACAGCATTGATTAGACTATTATTGTAATAAGAAAAAGGCAAAATATGAAAAGTCTGATCAGATAAAATTGATCAGATACAGTTCCCAAGCACTAATTTTTACCTTATTGTTTCCTCATGCTGGTTAGAGAATCATGTCATTTATTCCTTGAAAGAAATTTTTTTAAATCTCCTGCTGTCCTGGTATCAAAAATGTCTTTGCTACTATATGCTTTATAAGGCCTTGGTAACTTCTAATTTTTTTTTTGAGAAGTAGGGGGGGTTGTTGTAGTTATTTAACAATTGGTCTTCGTAAAAGACCCCCTGCTTTTCAGAACAACACATCAGGACGTAACACAGAATAAAACTTTGAGGTGAAGGGCCATGCCCAGGTCTGAAAACAATACAAGAGACACTTAAGGAGATGAAATGCAAGCAATAAAAGGTTCTTGGCACTTTTCCATACTTTAAAATAAAGACTGATTTTTCCAAAACAAAACTGTAGCGCTAGGAAAAGAAGGAAGTGGAGTTTTCAATTTTCTATAGGAGAACCATTCAAAAGACCTTCAATTTTTTTCCCCTCCTCCCCCCTGCCCCCCCCCCCCCCCCCCTTTTTTTTTTTTTAACTTTCTGTTGTGAATACTTTTACAATCAGGTCTAGAAGCAAATATCAAATCCCAAGCCAATTAGTGAACTTCACACTCTTAAATGTAATGATGCCTTCATTAAATTAATAATCATCAACTTATCCAATTTCTGCATTCACTCGAAAGAGTGAATTCAGCTGTTCATTCAGTATCATCAGTTCACTTCTCATACTAGACATTCTGGGATGGGTTCCGGAAAATTACTGATCAAATTCCAAAAGCTCCTTATTACATCTGACCTGGTGAAATCCCTGCCTGAAGTAGCAAGGCTGTAGACAATGTATAAACATTCATCAGCTTTTGAGAAACTCGCATGTACTCAGTTAGGTATCACCCTGCAGCCTGTCTTTTCATACTCTGGATTGCAGCAAACTCCAATGCTAAACATCTATTAACATGAATAATCTTATTATTTCTTTTCTGGTAACACTTGATGCTGCACTAAGGTGCTAATGTCTAGAAATGTCTATCATTCCTCTCATTTGAGAAGAACTTAAAAAATACTTTGAGTTCCAAAATGTTAATCTTCTGAAGACTTCACACAGAGGAAAAAGAGCATGATCCAGACTTAAGCATAACATGGATAAGTATTGCTCTTGTGGGAAACTGTTCTTCACAGCAATGGAATCACTTGGTCTACAGAGATAACACTGTTAATAAAACCAGTTATTGCAACACTAAATCAAGGCTACATGTTTTAAATACAGTCTTCGACTTTCTTAGTTCATGGTGAATGACCAATATTTAACCTCTGATAATATTTTATTCAAGAGAAAGATTAAAGCAATTTCTAAGCAAATTATTAAGTAAGACTTTAATTTTAATAGTATATTTTATCTTTCTTCTCTTTTGTAGTAGAGATGCTGTAATGATACTCAGGGTAATAACTTGGTGGAGAAAGAGGAAAGAAAACAAATTTTTAGTTGGAGTAATTGATTGCTGTTCTTTCTGTTCACATTTGATCCTGTTTTCTTCAAGATAAAGATGAATACACATAAGACAGAAAAGAACAGTACAAATGGGAAATGCAGTTTGTCTCTCCTTCGGCTGACTTCATTTGCAATTATGTTGCTACAGAAAGTGAAGCATATGGGGTTTAGGTTCCCACAGATCTGGAGAAATTTACCAGCACTGAGCTAAGGCAGTGATTTTACTTTTCTTTTGGGTCACAGGCTTGCAAATTTTTGCTTGCCTGAAATTCTAGCCAGCTAAGCATAATTAGGTAAAAAGTGGGCAGGAAGCAAATGCAGTGGAAAAGGAAAAACAAAGGTGACTTTAGCAGGAATCCATGTCTCCTATTCTAGCTGATTTTCACTTCTAGCTTCAGCAGGTGAAAATGTCATTCAAATTCCTTTAAGGCTCAGTGTCCCTAGGCCAATGGAGAGGATGTCCCACGGTAAGATAATTTAGGTCAGCACTGAGAAGATGGGGACTAAGGAAAGCTTATGATCCCCAAAAGAAAAGATTTGTAGAAGGGCTTTATCCACTTCCTGGGCATCAGGCCTAGTTTCCAGCAGATCAGTTTTCATAACTGCTGTCACACTTCGTGTGACACCAGCTTCATCATGATAGCTAGACTTTTTCTGTTAAGACTTCTTAGCCTAACTTTAAGTATTTTGCTGGCTTTTAAATGTTGTTTGTTTTGTGTTGTTTTTTTTTACTAGATGATGATGTAAAGCACATAGTACATTATTACATACACGAAATGTGTATCACTGCACGTAAGAGGTCAACGTGAATTTTGGTTACCTTGGACAATTTTGAATTTAGGCTTCTCTACAGAATGACTAATGAATGGCCTGGGAAGTTCTGACTTGGAATGAGTTAAGTTGCAGTTTCAAATACTACACATTCAAAAAGATTCTGCAATTGCAGAATTGATTAGTAACTACCAATTATTTTCATTGTCAACCATTAGTTGCCAGTAGAGAGTTAAAAAAAATAATTCATGGGATAAATTACTATATCCAAGGGAGAAGAATCCTATTTACCTTCTCCTCCCTTTTGCACCTGTGTGTTCTCCCATCACTCCCCTGGCCCTTCTCCTGGCAGCTTACAAATATAATTGCTGTTTCTTTGTTTGCTGTTCATGAAGTTGAGTAATGGTGAAACAATAAGCCTGGCATTTGGAATCCTCCTTTTGAACCACCTCTGTGTTTGAAAGGCTGCTGCAATCTTTGTGGTTGGTTCACCTTTTTGCCTCTCTGAGCACACTGCAATCAAGAAAAGCAGACAGAGGAAAAAAGAAAGAGGAAAAAAAAATGCATCTCAGAGGCCACTGCTTTCCTCACACAGAACGGAGAGAGACCACTGTTCCACAGCACAGCCCACCCCAGCACTCAGAAAGCATCCACATAGCACCCCCAGTTCTATGTGGCAGGAGAGCCAGAAAGGGGCACCCATGACAGGACAGGCTCCTGTACAGGCAAGTCTGCAAGGTGCTCCCCAGTAATGCTAACACTACTGGGCATTAGCCAGAGTCTAAGCTGAATTTAACTGAGGAATTAAATAAGGCAGGGTCTATAATTTTGTCTATTACCATTAAATAACCTACTCCTATGACAGCATATCACTTGAGACAACACACTAGTTACACAAGAGAAGACAACAAAGAACTAAATCCTAAGGAAGGAGGAATGAAAGTTATTGGAGCTGAGTAGAAAAAACATACAAAAAATAAGTTTTTTTATGCTTTTGTGAAGTTCCTTATTTTCCCTTTTCTCCACAGAAAAGGTTTAGATTAAGGACAACTGCTGTTACCACCACTAACTATAATAAGCTCTTTCACTCTACTACTCATTTTTTTGTATTTGAATCACTAGATTATTTTTGGAAAATGATTTTTTTTTACATTTCTAGTTCACTTAAAATTTCACTTGTCATAATTACCTTAAAACACACCTAATATATAAACATCCACAAGATGCCAACTATAACAGCTCACTAAATACAATCAAATAGCAAAATGTGAGCTTTGTGATGATACATCTTAAATTAATATATTCTTAAATTAACATTTTACCTTTATCTGGTGTTTCCACATTTTGAAGAGAATTCTGTGAAGGAAAAAAAAAAAAAAAAAAAAAAAACAAGGAAAAAAAGTAATTAGTTACTTCAGAAAAGACCACACAGCAGTTAGAATGGCTTTAGGAGCTGAACTCATGGAAAATAAAGTAAGAAAGGGGAAGGATATATCCTAATGTCATTATAACAGAGGACATGACTGGGATTCAGAGCACCAGGATCTGCTTCTCAGCTCTTCCACCTGCTTCCTCTACCATCTCAGACAAGTCACTCAGGACCCAATTTCTGCCAGTATTTAGGCATGTCAATATACAAAAAAGCACTTATCTACAATTGAAGTGCGTACACATTTTCAGCCTCTGTGTTGGCATAACAGAGATAAGAATGCCCTCTTTGTCCCTTTGCATGCATCCTACAGCCACATTGAGCAGGCAGAGCCTCAGCATCCTTTCATAGCTGAGGAGCAAGCAGCAAGTCTCCCCTCAAGTGGCCTATATTCACCTACCTTTCCTGTGCCAAATCAGCAAAAATAGCTATGGTCTTCAAAAGGCTTTGAGCCTTTGAGCTAGCCAGAAATGGCCAACAAGAAATACTAAGTGCAGTGAATTAGCAGGTGTTTACACTCTTGGTGCTTAACACAGCTCTTGATGTCTAACATTAATTCATTATCTGAATTCCCATCTCTCATATGCCACTGCTGTCAGCAGGTTTTTTTCACCACTGAAAGGTCAGTTATTAAGACTGAACTGTCCAACTTAATTAATTTTTTCTTTCTTTCTTTTTAAAGGAAAGAAAAAACCTGTTCTGCTAAACCCCCAAGTATAATAACTGCCATCAATCAGACCTCACTCCACCCTTCTCAGACACTGGGCAAAGTTAAATATTGCTACACTGCCTGTGCATCCTCATCTGCGCAGGAAGAACTGCCACCACAGCAGGTAGCTCAACACAGCTCTGAGCAGGATGGGCAGCACCTGCAGCCCAGGGCCACAGGTGGGACCCAGCCTTGGCTCAAAGGCACGTGTGGGTACCTGGTGTCACCTGCCACTGCTCAGCCTGCTCTGCCTGCACCTGGCTCTGACATCAGGCTCACATGTACCAAAGCGACATAGAAATAAGATACCGAGATGCAACCCTCGAGTAGAAGGATCAGCAAATTAATTCTGTGTTTCAGTATTGCCCATGGCTTGCACTCTGTTTGAACCCATGTCCCTGAAAGGTTTACTATCCTCTGCAGTTATTAATCCCTTTCCAGAGGGTTGAGAATACTTTATGTTAGTACACATAAATTCAGCAAGATGCTTCTTAAAAATTACAATGCATGCATAAGAAGTACAGAGCTGGATGTACATTGTCCCTCCGGTACCCACTTGGAGCTGCCAGCGTTTGTCTGGTAAATATGAAGAGAAGTCAAACGCTCACTTGAGGGGAGAAAAGCTACCTCCAGGCTGAGAAATATGTTTTCACAATCTTTATAATGCAGTGAGACAAATGGGAACAGAGACCTTTGTTCAATTCTCTCAAATTTTGGAAAGTAAACAATCTTTTGGAACAGCGCTTATAATTTCAACATAGTGTAGCCCATTTAATATATAGCGGATTAGTGCCTGTTCTGGCAGGATTTGATCTCCTTGGACTTTGTGTGAGCTGCTGTAAGAGGGGAGGGGGAAGAAAAAAAAAAAAGTGAAAAACATTAATTGTACAGCACACCCAGAGTTTCCCCCAAACAGATGTTAAAATCCTAGGGGTAGCTCAGTTAGAGACTGAATGAATCACACATATAAAGAGAGACAATGCGTTGAGAAGAAAATGTCATTGGTGCCAGTTGCTTTCATAATCTCTTAACCATGAAACAGAAATGCACAGTACTGGCAGTAAGGAGGCAGTAAGTACAGTTTAATTAAGCACAGAAGATTGGAATAAAGCTTCTTTGTTTTGATTTTTTTTTTTTTTTTCATAAAACCATAATTAAATAGAAGCACATTGGAGTTATTTTTTTTAAGTATGCAAGCACACATGTACAGCTATATATCCACAAACATATACTGGCATCCTATGTAATTTACACTGTAAGGAGTAAGCAGTAGCTTCCTTGAGGCATTATGTGCACATGGAGCTTGCCAAATAGATGCATTAAAAGGAATTTCACACAAAACCACACATTACAATACAATAAAGCATCAGGAAATCATGCTGAAAAAGTTTTTTAGAACTTTTTTTCTGGCATTCCTCCCTTTCTTGATGTGTAATGCTGCACTGCTTGAAATATAACAGCCTCAAAAATTTCACTTTATTTGTGCAGGTTACTTGCTTGTCTAAAAAAAGACTCTCTTCCACCTAGCAAAAAGTCTTGAGGGTATCATGCTGATGAACATAACAGAAACAATTCAAGCAAACTGACAAGATACACTAGCATTGCAGATCTAATAATTTTATCACTACCCAGAATTCATATAAAATGCCTCTACCCTTCGGTATGAGTTTAACTGAAAAAATTGGGAGGAGTTAGTAGTCCATCAAACATTCAACTGCTGGGTACTAATTGTGGCCACACATGTTGATACAGACAGGAAAACTGGTCCACTATCTTTGTATAAATATTGATAAATACAGATAAAATCTCATTTGTTATATTTACATACTATTCTATACATAAAATAGTTGAATAGAATGTGTATTCTCTGTTTTCATAAAAATTGAGTTACAGAACACGCAGAAATGTATTTTATTGCTTTTATGACAGTTATAGTTCAGTTGCTGCTGAGAAAGATAAAGTACTTCATAAAATCAAAACTGAACTTTTTCTAGATTGCTGAAGTCTAATCAACTGTCCTAGCACTTATTTCTCAAGAGAGTAAAAAGCAAGCAGCAGCAAAGGCATTTGCTGGTGCAGGAACAGTTTGACTTCTTTTAATATATTTTTTTCTCTCTCTTTTTTTTTCTTTTTTTTTTTTTTTTTTTTTTTTCATTTGTTTGAAGTCGGCTGTTAGTCAGGTCTGCTTCACTGAAGAGGGAGTAAGGGTGAAAGGGGTGTCAATCAAGGTCACAGACAGCCTTTACAGGAAGTCTTCAAGAGACAGACAACTAGTTCAACTAACCAAGCCTGAATATTAAGTGAACTTGAAAACTTTAAAAAATGAGTAACAATCTAGTCAGTATTAGCCAAGAGAAATGGGGAGACAAGCAGCTGCTTATGTGAATATTTGGACAGAAAAATATTTTAAGACTAGTGATAAAATATTCAATCAAGACAGAATCTTTTTAACATTCAGAAAAGGTTATTCAGGGACAGTATCATTTTGCTTATTATAGATGAGCAAACACCATCATTATCATCACCACCACTTATCATTTTTAGCCTCTGGAGATTACAGTCAGGACCAGCACTCCACTGTGCTGGATACTGTAGATACAGATAAGAAGAGGCATTCCTTGCTCTGAAGAGCTTTTCACTTAAATGGGTGAAACAGAAATAAGGAAAATGTATTACTCCCTCTGTGCAAGGAAGCACATGGAAGTGTGTTCAACAGAACCTGTACGTAATGGAGCCTGTCTATACAGCAGAGTTGGAAGCTGGACACACGCTGGAGAACGACCAACGGCAAGCTGGGAACACTAGAAGCAGGGGTTCTTTGTTTGTTTTGTTTTTTGTCAGTTTGTTTGCTTTTACAGCAGAATAGATCAGCTAATAATTAAATTATTTGCCTAGTAACAATCACTTCCTCTCTAAAATAAAAACAGTATTTGCATGATACTGACTCAGAAGACAGACAGAAGCAAACGTGAACATCAACAGAAACCTTAGACTTGAAAAAGATGACCTGTACTCTTTGTTTTTTATCCCATTATCTCATTCTTCATGGCATGACGCTTGGGGGTTTTCTGATTGCTCAGGACAGGCCATGCTAATAGGAACTGATTTGGCTCTGACCACTGTATCTTTCTGCTGGAATTCAGAGAGGCTGAAAATGGCCTCAGGGATACTCAGGAATAAGCCAGTCATAGGAGGCAGTTTACACATTGGGTTCACAGAGCTGACCTGAACATTCAAAGAGAAAATATACTAAATTTCTCTAAACTCAAAAATAAATCTTTTAACAAACTAGTCCCAATACATTTCTTCTGCTCCAATTTCTTTCTAAAGGAGAACATGGTCTGTTACTGTCCTTCTCTTTTTACTGGATCAAGCTCTATCTCTTTAGAAAGATTCTGGGTTGACAAAATATTTTTCTCAAGGGGAAGATGCTGATCTGCCCAGTGCCTCTTAGGACAGCCTGAGGTTTAACTGAAAAGGAGAACATGTGAGTCCCCTGTTACTTATTATTTCTTTCTTTACTGTATTTGCCTTCTCATGTACAGGAGTAACTTTCATTATATGGAGATACTCTCATTTCAATTTAAATCAAAAACATACCAGATAACATGTGTGCTGTCAAAGACTCACTGATGCTGGAATTACCCAGCATAATGACTTCTAATAACTGATGCTGAAGTGGACATGAAAAGATTTAGGATGCTACAGAAATGAGCTTTACAGTGAGTCATGACCTAGAATAAAGGAAGAGAAGGTAATTACGTGAATTAGCTGGTCAGCTCTGAGAAACAGCAAGAAACTAGAGCTATGTTGTTTCCTGATGCTTTGTCCTTAACAATACTTGCTAACCTGCAGAGAGACAGCACCCATATAACTAATTCTGGAAGCCCACAGCTGGTTCTGCCCAGAGCCATGCAGCAATGTCTTCTCTGTGATCTCCAGCATCCTTTACCTAAATTGGAAGCTATTTTCCCTCTCCTTCCAGTGCCTCTAACTAATGCTCATCAGAGAGAAAATATGTAGAAAAAGACAGCAGAATGGCCTTGATCAATCAGAAAATTAGTGATACTCATTCAAGCTCCAGTTTTAAAGACAAAAATAGGACATCAACTTGTATTTTTTACCTGTGCTTTCTCCAATGGCACTGCATGGAGTTTCTTGACTGCATCAGTAATGTCTCTGGTTTCCACAAAACAGAGGACACTGCAGATTGCTTTAGCTACTTCAATTACAGTATCAACTTTATGCTGTTGATAGCAAGGAAAGAAAAAAAGAAAAGCAAATAGTAGACACATACCATTTATCAGAAATGCCTTACTATAAACTTCATGTGAGTATGTAGAAGATCGTATCTGCTCATGCAAAATTCACAAACACCATTAGTCTGGCTACAGTGAAATCTCTAGTGACCAATAGTTTCCTGAGGATAGCATAATTTTTGTTGAAGTCCAGTTTCCTTCCACAAATCAGGCCTTTTCAAAAACTGACAAATGGGGCATCTTAGACTGATTTTGAGGTAAAACATTGGCTTGTCTGAACTTCATGAGCATAGAAGAACTGTGAAGAAACTTCTGATAAACATGAACCCAAATGATTCATAGACTTTCTGAGGTTTTCATGATACTGTGAATTTATCCCCACTATTGTTTTCTGTCCATCTCTGAGAGATGGCAGAAAGCCATGTTCCTCCTAAAAATAATGACTGCGTGGGAGGCTGCATAATCTGACACCTGTGGACTGAGTACTTCTGCAACTAGCTTATCTGCAAAATATATATATAGTTCAAACTATTAAATCTTACTGATAATAAATTTAGATTTTTAAATACTACCATATGAAAAATATGAATAATCTCATAAATACTTTGGGAAATTAAAACTAACCAACCAAATTGGATCCTAGAGGAAGAAAAATGCAATCTTCCGACACCACATACTGTATGTTCAAGAAAATAAATAAATACATACAAATTCACAGTGACTACTTCTAAGGAGGGTATTGCAGATCAAGGAGAATATGTATATTAAAAATATCTGTAATATTTTATATTATGAATGGTCACTTCTTTCACACCATTTCTCTTTTTGAGTATTAGCATGTTAAAATTTTTTCCATATGTAGACATATGACATTGACTTTTTTTCCCAAAGAAGGGAAGACAGAGGTTAATTTCTTACAGAAGTTTTACACTTTCTGAAAGTCCAAAAGAATTATGCTCAATGTCTTGCATATGTTGGGTTTTGGTGTTTGTTTTTTTTTTCCCTCTACATATTTAAATACCACCAGAACCTTTGAAGGATGCTTTGGTGTTTAAATTATTTATACGGTAAAAAAATGCTACTTGATTCTACAACTTCTACACTCTGTATTAAAAATTTACAAAGTTTTCTCACAAGATTAACATTACATTCTGAATAGATTTTAAAATTAAGTGCAATTATCAGGGCAATCAAAACAGCTACTTGTGTGCTTTACATTTCAAACCCAACAATACCAATCCTACCCCCACCTTGTGTCAAACCTCCTAAACCTTTTTTTTTTTTCATTGTATAGAGGCATTATACATAATAAAATTAATTTTGCATTTATTGATCATTGCTAGTAATACAGTGGGCTTGTCACATAAGTCAGAAATATTGGTATCTCCAAGGCTTTTTAATAGACCTTTTTAATAGAAATGTTTTAATCCTTGAACAAGTATTGATTTATTTATTTTTTTAAATGAGAATCTCAAGATCTGTTTGATTAACAATAATGCTTAATGAAGTTCTAGCTGAACACAGAACTTAGGCATGTATGTGTGCACTTAATGAAAGATATGTGAGTAACTCCCAGTGGCTTAAAGTTCAGAGTGTGTTGAGGATGGATTGAGGTAACAACCCACTCACTGATGTGAGTCCTGGCTTTAAAAATCAACATAATTATTTCTATGTGACCTTGGGATAGGGGGCAGTTATAAAGATTCCAATTTTAAACCTTCTTAAGGGAATATAATCAGAAGTTACAGAAAAAAGTAAACAAGGATACAAAGAACAATACTTCAGTATATATTTATGACTATAACTTATAACATTACAGTTTATATATATGTAACTTATAATATTACATAATTTTTCAAGCCACTAATTAAAACAAAGAAGTAACACTAGTTTTAATTATTATAGGTTTGAAAAATCTCCATAACTTTGATGCCTCTGAATGAAAACATCTCAATGATGATTTACCTATGACATTAACTTGCAATCCCGCTCTTTTAAGCTATACATATGAACTTTATTAAATGCCCCTGTGTAGAAAAAACCTTGTTAAAAAAAAAAGAACCACAGAGAAATTTAGCTCTAGAGTAACACATCCATATTTGTTGCATAGCATGAATATTTGAAAAATGTTCTGTCTTCCCTTTAGGAAAAGTTAATGATCTCAAGTAACTGCTTACTAAGGTAAAAATCTTTTGCACAAAAAAAATAAAAATTAAGAATGCTTCATTACAGGTCTGATGAGTAGCTACAGAGAGTCAGTTGCAGAGGGTAGATTGTAATGCCTCATTAATGTTCAGATTATAGCTTTCTTTGGATTTGGAATCATCTTATTTAGGCCCTAAAATTTCAAGTCAATCTAAGTTACTACACGGATGGGTCTACTTCAGTAAAGAAATATAGATGCATATTTGAGTTTGGGGACCTCAGTTTTCCAAATGGTTATGACTACATCACATTTTATACACTAAATAGTCCCCTTTGAGAAACTGCTTACAAAGGAAAGTTTGGTTAATACCAACACAGTATCAAAACCAGGGCTTTACTTTGTAGCTTGTCACACTCCAACAAATGTGTTAAGGATTTACACAGAAATGTGGAATATTTTCTCTATGTATAATTATTTAAATATGTAATATTTTATATTTATGTATTCGTGTACATGTCTGTATGTATACGTGCATTTATATATATGTCTATCTATATGTCCACACACCTGTGTGTATGTGTATGCTTTCTGACCATTCAAAAGAGAAATACCTATGGATTAAGACTCCAGAAAGATTGAGGTCTGGACTTAAATATAGGCGAAAGAATTCTGAAACTTATTTTTCAAAGAAATCCATATTTTAGCATAATGAGTTAAAACTCTGGAAGGGATTCACTGGAATATCTCCATGCTATATCACTATTCTTTGTTTTAACTAATGCCCTTCATTTGCTCTCAGTTCCAAACCCTAGGAAGTCATTTGGTTCTCCGAAGTTATGGAATATGAATTCAAATATTAATTTGTCCTTTAGACATTTGTCCTTAAAACATTAGTTAGTAGAGAAGACTTCCTAAGAGATTGTTCCTTTGAGCATGTAACATCCAATCGGTAGCCCACAATACTTAAAAATTAAGCTCTTAGGAGTTTTGCTGCCTGAACCTAATCCTGCAAATCCATGCTTGAATAGATTTTGTAAATATATAAACATTCAGCTTGTGGGTTTGTAAAATCAGGGACAAATTTTGCCGATACTTATAGTGTACTGTATACCTATAATAGTTTCAAATACTATACTGCCAACCCAAACAGTCCTGTTTTTAGCCACACACTTCGTCACACTTAGAAACAGTCGCCTTTGATACTTTAAAGCATTTTCTTTGTAACGTCAAGCCAAGTTTTATTAAGAGAATGTATATCCTTTGAAGTCAGGTTAAACAACCTTAATTAAAAGTTTTCTTTAATTGCATTTGAGACAGATTAATAATTAGATACTTTTCAGGTAGAAGTGAATGCTTAAACTGAGAACAAATACCTCATTTTGCAATAGATATTCCACTTGATCTCTATATTTCATAAGAACTGAAACAAGATTTTGTCTGGAAATCAGAAAAAATAAAACAACATCAAGTTAGTAACCACTGGATAAAGAGAACAGGTTTGGTTTTTTGTGTTGTTTTTTTAACATTCTATAAAACAGGAATAGTGACGGTGATTTTATGTTGGTATAAAATCACAAGTGTTTATGTAGGCATCATGTAATTGAGCCTGGATCTCCATGGTTTTTTGGTAGTAATTTGCTCCAAAGCATAGATGTAAAATTCTTTTACTTATACCTGGAAGATACATGATTCCCAAGTGAAAGAACTCCAGCAAGTAATTTGCTATTTCAGTGTCTATTGAACGCCAAATCACATTTATTTTACTCTTTAAGGTTAAGCAAGTACCTAAATATTACCATGAAGAAGGATGGACTAAAGTACATGCTACAATGTCTTCTTTCTCAAGCACTTCACAGACTAAAAATGCAGAGAATCAGGCAAAACATCTGTAAAAGCTCTGCTTTTCAAAACTCCATACTAAGTCAGAAGTATAAAAGTGTTTATTATAAAAAGGACACTATAGCTACATAACTCATTAACCTTTTTTTTGCTTCTAATTCTCAATTCTACATATTCAAACTGTTTAATCAACTATCTTTTTCATGGTATTACCTATGCTGTGAATTTGTTTTACTTCTGTAGGTAGACATATACCACTTCATTGTCCCATGCTTTTGTCATGCTAAAAAAGTTACCATCAAGTTTGTGCAGGAAGGTTGCTGTGCATTATGAAATCTTCACTAGATTAATTAGGATTATGAACAGGAGTATACAACTCTCTATGCTGAACTCCAGGACTGATGCTTCAGTTGTAAATTTCACCATTTCAGAACCACAGGCTCCAAGTGTTATCCCCCAATAAATAACCAGAATTGGAGTTTTGCTTTTCAGAAGCATGTGTGTAATTTTCTGTCTTTCAAGCACAGTGAAAAGCTAGACATCACTTATTTGTCAACTGGAAGAAAACAAAACCCGTGCCTATGAGACCATGGCTAAGGTTGCTACACAGGAATACACCTTCCTTTTCCTTTGACCGCCTCCTCTGTAGGGTCAAATCTTCAGGAAAGGATAAAGAAACCTTAATTCCCACCCTGCACAGACTACTGATTAGTAAAAAGGACACAATATTGCCTTCATGGTCCCCAGTGGCAGTCAGGGTTGCACGTGCTTCTATAAAAAAGTGGAATTTTCTATTTATATTCTTTCTTCAGTGTTCATTTGTTTTCCTTTATCACTTTATCCTTCAGCTGTTGTTGTTTTTTTTCCCCCCACTAACTCTTTTCTATTAGGGACCTCTCTCTTCAGAAGGCTTAGAAGGAATTTACCCCCTGCCCATTGCTATGTGGTAGCAGAAAGTCACAAGAGTGCTCTGATTGCTTCACAGCAAATGGACTATTGTTTATAGAGAAATTGTGTACACCCTCATGTATCTTAGTTGGACTAACTGAGCAAACAGAGATTAGAATTGCAACTATGGTCCCAAGTACAGGTTTCACGGTACGTGGTTAGACTTTCATTATATATATTGTATGGCAAGAGAAGGAAAGAGTCATTGTACTGAAATCATCATACAGAACAGAGAAATATTAGGTGACTTTCCCTGTGATAATACCAGAGTGCATTTCCATGAATATGCCTAGTATTCACCTCCTCCTACAGATGGTTTTGCCTTAACAGCATTTTATTTCCAATCTGCACTAGCCTTATCTAGCCAGGCAGTTTGTATGTTGAGTAGCTGTCTGGCAATTCCTCCTGTAATCCTGTTAAATGATAGCTAATACAAGTTGTCGCTCTGCTTTGACCAAGTCTCCAGGCATAACATCTTTTTCACAGCATTACCCAGCTCAAAAGTATTCCTGGACATATGAGCTTGCCTTGTTGCCTTGATGTGTAGAGGTAAGCATGTTTATCAGCATGCTTGGCTTAAATGCAGGTTTCACAATAATATCATATCGCTTAATACTAACCCAAAAATTAGCATATTTGACTTCAGTTTATTCTACTCTAGAGAATTTTCTGTATAAAGTAGCTATAATTTTACATACCTAATAGGAAACAAATCCAGCAACTTGTAACAATGTTCAAAATACCTCTACTAATGCTATCCTGAATCTTCAGCTGCTAGATAACTAACAATACCCATATATTATGACACAGACCTACTTCATACTTGTACAGCTTTGACAGCTGTGTATCAATATAGAAATGCTAACCAACCCATGAGCATTCAGTGTTTCTTTGTCATTGAGGACACTTTTGGAGCTTTTAGCAAAGCAATATGATCTAACAGTTTTTGAAAGAAAACCAAACAAAAGGTACAAACAACTCGAGTGTCAGTCTTAGATACCAGCTGGTCTATATAGGAGGAAGATGACAAGTATATAACATATACTTGCAGCACACATTTTTCAGTCTCCTGATAGCAGCACCCTGGCAATGCTAGGTTTCCTTTTTAAAATCGTTCCATCACCATGCCGCCTAACTAAGCTGTGCCTAACTGCACGGATCAGACCAAGTCACCATGTTATAGTTACTGGCTCCACAATGTCAGATTATCTGATGCACTCTTTGATTTACACTGTGTTGCTTCCAAGTTAGGAAAATCAGTGTGTGAAGCAATGTAGAGGCCAGTTTCATTTGTTCACATTTATCTGAGAGAGCAAATCTGATTATTACACAGATATGGTTCCAGGTTATTCTTTCTACTTCATCTCAGGCCAGTTCAAACAGTTCTTTTTCCTTCTCTTCCAGATCTAAGCAGACTGAGCATCTCAATCAATATGTTCTCTAAAACACAAATGTTTGCATGCTACAATCAGAAATGTAACTACAGAATGTGCAGACAACCCTAAATATTATTTTATCTAGCTAGTCTAAATACTCACAGCTGTGAAAATACAACAATATGGTACAGTAATCTCCTGGTCTTCCAAGGTTCCAGGCCAATTTGCAGAGCCTGTGTTGAGCCCATTCTACTGCATCTCCATTACACTGCTCCACCTACCTCATTTCTATTACAGCTCTAACTACATGTAGAACTGGGAAATCATAACGTGTTGCAAACATATATCCCAGCGTGGAATAAACACAAAGATGTTCACAGAATCAAAGAACGGCTAGGGTTGGAAGGGACCTTAAAGATCACCTAGTTCCAAACCCTCTGCATGGGCAGGAACACTTCCTACTAGACAAGGCTGCTCAAAGTCCCATCCAGTCTGGCCTTGAACACTTCCAGGGAGGGGTCAACCAGAACTCCTCTGGGCAACCTGTTGCAGTGCCTCATCACCCTCACTATGAAGAATTTCTTCCTAACATCTAGGCTAAATCTAGGCCTAATGTCTAATGTCTTAGCCTAATGTCTAGCCTAAATTTAAATCTACCCTTTTCCAGTTCAAAGCCATTAAGTGTTGTCTTATTACTACATGGCTTTGTAAAAAGCCCCTCCCCAGCTTTCTTATAGGTCCCCTTCAGGTATCGGAAGGCCACTATAAGGTCCTTCTGTGCTGTATTTGCTCATTGCCAGCTTATGTTAAGCTGCTCATCAACCAACATCCCCAATCCTGTGTGGGAGAGTTTTGAATGCTTTGCACAAGTCTAGGTAGATGATGACAGTTGCCCTCCCCTTGTCCACCAATGCTGTGACCCCATGGTAAAAGGTCACCAAATTTGTCAGGTACTGTAGCAGGATGCTCCATCTCTCAATATACCTGCCTTTGTTTCCCTCTGTGATTCAATTGCTTTTTGTCTCTTCATTTTATAAGCCCAGGCCAGGAGTGGAAAGATTCCTGTGGGAAAGGAAAGGGCCTAGCAAGCTCTGAGTTGCTAACAATTCTGAATGAACAGAGGGCCAAGTTTATGTTCATAACACAAGGGTGTTGAAGAATATGGCCTACAACTAGACCCAAAATGGAGATCAAATAAGAACAAGCAGATAAACAAAAGAGTTTGCTTGGTGAGAAAAGCACCTTCGTGGGCTTTTTCCACTGTTTTCCTTTTATTCTCCAATGAGCGACTTTGGAGGTATGACTAAATAGTTAAATGCAGCAGTCAATCCACTTCATTCTATAGAAGCCTGTTTCCAACTTTGAGCAGAGGGACTCCCATGCACTTTTCCAGGAGGTGTGCTGGACTTTGTCCTCCACAAAGGGACACCCAGCTGTGGCGGTAAGAGGATGAGAGACGTTAACTCCCTTACTGTCTTCATCAGTTAATCTAATATTAAGCAATCTTTAATAATTAAGTTTTATATTTTAAGACAGTAGGATCCTTTTAAAGTCAGTAATTAATGTTCCAGATCAAGTATAAAACTTGGTAATAGGTAAGTTGGCAACATTTGAATAGTTAACCTTTATTGTTTGATCTAACTACTAGTAGTACATTTTATTGTTAAGATACTTTCTACATTCTAATCTCAATTTCTGTTCCGATCTCCCAATTTCCCCACAATTTGACTGTGCTTGTACTTTTTACTTTAAAACAGTTAAGACCCTGGTGCTGATTGCAATATATCTTGTTCTGTACCTATACACCTCATCTGCTATCTTGTCCTGTTTGGGACAGGTACAATTTGTCCTTGGTGCAGCCGAGTTGCCGCCGACCACCTCTTCATTTTCCATGTGCCTTAGCAGAGTCTTCAGGAAGATCTGCTCTATGATTCAAGGTCCTTTCCAGCCAGGATGATTCTGTGATTCTATGATCTTGCCAGGCACAGATGTGAAACTGACTGGCCTGTAGTTCCCTGGGTCATTGTTTTTTCCCTTTTTGAAAACAGCATTATGGTTTCCCATAATGATTTTCCAGTCAGTGGGAAATTCACATAATTGCCACAATATTTCAAATATGATAGAAAGCAGATTTGCAACTTCATCTGCCAGTTCCCTCAGAAACTGCAGATGGGTATCGTCAAGTCCTATGGACTTGTGCACTTTCAGGTTCTTTAGATTGTCTGAAACATGCTCTTCTCCTACAGTGGGTGATCTTCCTTCTCCCAGTCCCTTTTTTTTTGCCTTCTGCAACTTTGGTGGTGTACTATCTCTTCATCAGGACGAAGAATATTGTTACTTATTTGGTTCTCACATTGGAAGGAATTTCACTCCTGTAGGCATTCTTGCTGACCTTCACTTTTTCATGTTCTATTACATAATTTTTGAAATGGTAGAAGCACAACTACTGGCCATATTAAAGATCAATGAACACCCTACATTGATACTGTGGCATAATATTGCTTTTTGGTTTTTAACTTCTTTCATAATAATTCCCAACATTTATTTTATCTGTTTTGCAGCTGCTGTGCACCTGACATTCAGAACTATTATAACACCAGGTACTCGCTCCTGGTGGTAAAAGCCAACTCAGAGACAAATATTTCATATGTGGATTTAAGACTGTTTCCTCCCACCTACATTTATCTTCTCAAAATTTCATCTGCCATTGTTACAAAAACACACAACTCAGGATTGTAAAAAACCTCCTGAAAATCATCACAGAGAGCTCCTGTGCACATTATGGACAGCAAAATTTTGTCACTTCGCTATTACTCCTTTTCTTCTCAACTGAGTTAGAAATGCAATTGAGACCATAGATCTTTGAGTGATCACTGTTAGAAAATGTTTTCCCTTACTCATCAACAATTCATGGGACAAACAGGAAACAGTGACCAAACACAGTTCAAGCTTTTACTTTTTCAATATTTACTGAACTTGTAGACGAAGAAAGTATTTACTGCCTATGCTATAAGTTATTTATTGCTCTGCAGTAGCAGAGGAAACTTTGCAGACCATAGTTGATTTGCAGCTCAACATCTTTACCCACATATACTGTCTGAAGACTCTCTTTGCCATGGAAAATACCACATGCTTTACATCACAAAAATAAAACAGTCAATTAGTAGTGTGTGTATAGACTGTCTGATTGGCTTGTTCTCTTTATAGCAAGAACCAGAATAGAAATTTGGGCCATGCTCCTAGAAAAGCAGATGGGTCCTCAGTAAGCACCAGACACTCACTTTGAACAAGTTACTATCTCTCTGTTTTCTTCCATCTGCCAAATGACAGGTGTGGCATTTAACATTCTTAGCAAAATACTCATACTTTTGATGAAAAACACTACAAAATGTATTAACAGCTTCTTTATCTAAGTGCATTCTCTAAGAGCAATGCACACATGAAAATTATGGCTCCTTCAATCTTGGAGATCTTTGGGTAATATTTTTTGAAAGCTCTAATGAAACCTTCAATTACAGGAAACAAAAAGAATGGGGAAAAATTACAGATCTATAAATTATTTATTTTTGCTAAGTCTGAAAATAAGAATTTAAAACATTGAACAATTTTTATTTCTCTTTGGTATAATTCTTTTCTCCAGTAGGTCTTGGAATTGTGCTTTAGGGCCACAAGACTCACTACAAATATAAACAATTACAAGCAGAAATACTGTTAAATACCAGTGTTCTTACCGAGTCAGTCTCCACGCACAAGTGTGTTGCAGCAGCTGGTTCACACTAAACTGCCTTTGGTCATCCTCATGCTGTGGAAGAGGAACATATAGTGAGATACAGTACTCTGATAGAAAGAATGTATGTTAGAGAGATTTGCTTGGTTTTTTTCAAAGTTCACGTGTTCTTTTAGGAGCTCTTCTTTCAGTGATCAGGATATTTCAGTCTGAAATTCTCTTGGGTGAATTTCTTTCATGTTACACTGAGTTGTACCATACAGGAGGCCAAACCAGATTGTTACAGTAGGTTCCTTCTAGCTACCCATGGATGAAGACTATAGCCAGGCCCCAGTAAACCCTGCTTCTCCTGTCTTCTTACAGTCAGCAAAAGGCACTCTTTTGCAATAGCAATATACACTAGCCATGAAGCAGAATGCAGTTTGCATCCACAATCTCTCTGCTTCCTTTTCTGAGGGAACAAAATTGAGAACACCTGTACTCTGCCCTGGTGAGACCTCACCTAGAATACTGAGTCCAGCTCTGGTGCCCCCAGCACAAGAAAGATGTGGACCTGTTGGAACGTGTCCAGAGAAGGGCCAGGAAAATGATCCGAGGGCTGGAACACCTCTCTTATGAGGACAGGCTGAGGGAGTTGGGGTTGTTCAGCCTGAAGAAGAGAAGGCTCCTGGGGAACTCCATAGTGGCCTCCCATTACCTGAAGGGGGCCTATGGGAAAGCTGGGGAGGGTCTTTTTACAGGGGTTTGCAGTGAGAGGATGAGGGGTAATGGTTTTAAGCTGAACAAAAAGAGATTTAGGTTAGAGATTAGGAGTAAATTCTTCAGTGTAAGGGTGGTGACACACTAGAACAGGCTGCCCAGAGATGTTGTGGGGGCTCCATGACTGGAGGTTTTCAAGGGCAGGCTGGATGGAGCTCTGAGCAGCCTGTTCTAGTGGAAGGTGTCCCTGCCCATGCAGGGGAGTTGGACCTCGATGATCTTTAAGGTCTGTTCCAAATCAAAAAATTCTGTGAAAAACAGGTTAGCTCAGCCTAGAGAAAAGAAGGCTTTGGGGAGACCTTGTTACTGTGTTCCAGTACTTAAAAGGTGGCTACCAAGAAGATGGAGGTTGTCTATGGAAAAGACAACAGGTAATGGGCCCAAGTTGTTGCTGGTGAGATTTCAATTGGACAAAATTTTTCACCATGAGGACAATCAAACATTGGAATAGTCTTCCACAGGAAGTGGTAGATTCCTCTGCATTGGACAGTTTTAAATCACAGTTTGACAGGGTTCTGAGCCATATCATATAAACTGTAGTAGTAGATAAAAATTACCTACAAAGGGTTGGACCAGATGATTCGTGAGGTCCCTTCCAACCTGGCATTCTATAATATTATTCAATTTCAAAATAAGGGAGAACAGCATAATCCAGTAGTGATGAAATATGTTTTGTTATCTTTTTCATCCCCAAAACAGAATTCAAAAGAAAGGGTATTTTACTGAGTTGGCTAAAAAGGCCTTCTCCTAATTTTTTAATGTTACTTAATTCAAATATTGAAAATTTATTCAGAATAAGGTGACCACACTAGCAACTTTTTATTGTTATTGAAGTATAGTAGTGGTCTGAAGCTAACATTGTTGAACAATTTAAGGCTCTGCTATGGTTGGATTTACTTTAAATATGTTAATTAACATGTGAATTAATTCATACTATTTCTGCTTAACTCTCTATATAGAGATTTAGCAATAACACTATTTAAGGAGCAGAATCTTGCTGAGCTAGATACATTACAGATGTTCTGTAAAGAATTCCCATCTGGAGCACTACTGTCTCTTTTATCACACAGTGGCAACATATGAAAGATGAATTAGATGAATGAAATAGAAGGAGGTGAAGGTAAGAAAACATTCTCATGCATTAAGTATTGAATGTATGTGTCTTAGACTTAAGCACTAGGCTCCACTTTGTCTGGCCATTTGGTCTTACACAAACACCTGTGTTCCTTATCTCAGTGTACTGACATGAGAGTGTTAAATGTTATAGAGGAAAAGGCAGGGTAAGTATTTGGGGGCTGGGGGATGCATTTAAGTGGGGTTGGTCATTTCTCAGCTGATCTCAGAATCTGCCTCTGAACTCCAATGAGTTGCTTCTAAAAGCAAAATAGCTTATGGATGACAGCTTCCTGAGTGCAGCATTAATTGTGCTACATATTCTGACTTAATAACTGTTGGTTCTGCTCAGAATTTACATCTTCTGTCCATACCATACTATGAAGCTTGGAGTATCTGACTTCTGCTCCTTCAACGCACATTCCAAACCCTGAGAATATTTCATAGTGCTACCATAACCAGAAGCATGCATTCCAGGAAGTATATAACACCAAACTCTCCATAGTTTCTTGCTATAACATCATGATCTGATTTTGCTACTTCTGGACAGAACAATAGTTAATCACATCCACCTTGACTCTCATCAGAACATATTGTCCTATTTTGAAAGTCATGTTATCCCACAGATGAGTAGTGTCCATGTTTTTGCAGAATCCATCCTTCATTTTTATAATGTCACTGCATGCTTAGCTGTCACACTGCCACCTCTGGAGACCTTATAAGTAGCAGAGCACACCTGAACTGAGCACTCACAGGCACAAAGCTTGAGTTACAGAACAGGAGTGATAAATGACAAACTTCTTCCTTAATCTCACACACTGACGGGACTAGAGGACATGGACAGATGAATTTGGAAACAGTGTGACATGGATATCATGAAGGAGGAAGCCCTGAAGCTTTGAGAGAAATTAGATATGTGCAATTGATGGGAACTCAGAAACTTAAGGGGATCTGATGGACTAAGGCAAAAGTTGGGCTTATGTGAATTATTTAGCACCTGAACACATATAGCTGATTATTACACAAAAGGGCTGGTAAGATATGAAAAAGTTTTTGTGACAATAATGAAACTACAACCTCAGTGAAAATTTCTATAAAATAACATAGTACAAAGTTAAAAAATTGGAAGGATCCTACAGATCACATGTCAAAGTCTACCAGCGATTGAAAACAGATTAGCTCACAAACAGTATCTGAATATGTGCATAACTGTCTGAGAAAATTGCCTCTAGGCATGTGGCTTTATGTTTTATGGCCAATGCCACAAGTTCCAGAGAACAGTAACAAGAAAACTGACTGTGAGTTCAGTGTGGGCTGCCTCAGATCCTTGAATGCAGTGTGGGTGGAGTAGGTAGACCAAAAGAGAGCTACAGAACTGGACCCAGAGTAAAAGGAAACACTGCAGCTTTCAATACACCACTGTGTTTCTTCCATTAGGTTTTGTCTGGTCCTGACAGACTTGCTGGTGCTCCTCTTGGGTAGGTAGAACACCCCCTGGAAATGGTATCTGGATAAAGGTTTCTGTTTCTACACTATTCCACTGAGCATTTCTTCCTAAAAACCAACCAGCCACTAGGAATTTAACAGTTCTGACCCATTGCAACTTGTGGAGTTTGTGCTGAAGAGTTGTTTCTTAAAGACAGCCTAGGTTAAAATACTAAGTAGGACAGGTGCTTAGGCAATATTAATCTAGCAGTTGTTACTAAGTATTATTGTAATCCATGTATATTAGGCCACCATTTGACAAGAGGACTACTGGATTTTTTCCACATTCATTGTTATTCTCAGATTTTCAATGTGTGGAAAAAATTCTGCAAGGTATGAAATTCTCACTCTTGTCAACTGAAGCTCATTTGTCTGGCTAGACAGTATAAAACTGAGATTCAGTGTTTCTATATCATAAATAGAAACTTAATGTCTCTCTGTAAGCTTTGTTTGAAAGTTTAGTAGGAATCTAGCATGAGTAAAATTCAGGTCTTAAAAGACTGTTGTTTAAGCATGTTAAAGTTAATAAATCTCATGTCTCAAAAAACAAAAATTAAATTAAAGGTCAGCCATTGGCTGAAAGATCTATTATTCCATGTAAAACACTAGGCCAAATTTCTTGCTTGTAACTGCTCAGTTCAAGATAATTTCCTTTATTTGAATGCTTTCTAACAGGACATCAGCTTCCCACAAAAGGAAAGGAAGCAAGTATTCACCTGAAAAAAGATATGTTCTTCAGCTGAATTCACAAAAGAACTGTGAACATTTAGTTATTGGCCAAAGTTAATAAGCTGTCTGGTTTTAAAAGAATACATTAGTTGCACATTACTTGTAAGTATCCCCTTATATTAATCATTAAGCACAATAGTAAAATATTAGTAATGTGCATGTACAGATATTTTTAACTATGCAACTCTATTTCAATAGTGCTATGTAAGGTAAGCAAGAATTATGAAGGCAGTCTCCAGATAGCACTGGTAGAGAGTTTTACCTCCTTAGCACACAAACAATCTTTAAGGCCTCAGAAGAGACTCTTGAACATGTCATTAGGTTCCAAAGCAGATAATTTTGAAGATCTGTAGGAATAGCAGGTGTATATACAGCAAATAGATAATTTGCTCTATGTTTTAACTTTTCTTGTTTGAAGAACAAGTAGCTTGTAGAGAATCAATCATTGTCTTGGAAGTCTGAAGGGGAGATTTTCAGGAAGTTGCTTTGAGGCTCCCTGTTTATATTATATGTATGTAAAAAATATGAAATATGCCAAAAGCATGTAAGTAGCAAAATGTATTGACATCAAACTTTTAATTTGCATCACTGATTTCTCAGGCCAGGAAACGTTTGGAAACCTGCAACTAGGTCAGTAATATATTGCTTCATTTAGAAGACAGAGATGCCCACCTAAAAATGGTTAATATTTTTTTTCCACCATTACATATACTTATGTATGTCCATAATTATACCTAATCACCAGAACTTAATTGTTCTCAAGCCCTTCCTTGGCTGAACTATGTGGAAAAAGGAAGTTTTCCATCACCTAACACAGGATGTCTTGTCACAGAGCTGACACCAGAAAGGATGATGATGACCATCTAAACTCTGTTTAATGCAGACAACAGAAATCATACGGTGATTCCTTCCTCAATCTTAACAACTTGCAGTTAATTGACAACAAGATACCACAGATACTTTTCCAAGACAAACTCATTCCAATGGTGACTGGATGTGGGGTGAGAAAGGACATGAGAGGGACACTTGCTCAGCCCCTTCTGAAGGTTTATTCAAATATCAACTTATTTTCTCTAGACTGATAGGAAACAGTTGGCAATTCATTTATCTGAATAATTTTTGCAGAAGTAACCAGGTGATAAAAGCTTCCACATTTCCTAATTTACTTTCCTTTGGATTACACTATACCAAGAAGAATCAATGCTTTTAAAAAAAATAAGTTAATAATACTGGTAGTGAAAAATGCCAATAATTTAAGTCAGGATTGCATGTATCAGCACTAAATGATTCTGTTTTTATCTATCAACTGGATAAAATGTTTACAAAAAATTAATATATATTTGGCCTCATTATTGTCTTTTTTTAATGCTCCAGGTAACATATTGTATTGAACCTGTGACACATAACAGAAATGAAAAGAGAGCCCCTACCTTTTTTGTTTTTTGGTAGAACTCTACCATCTGAGTCATGTGTTGACAGAATCAGGCTGGAAGCATACCTATGCAAAGCAGATAACTGGTACTATTGGTACTCTATTCAGAGTTAACACACTGCCAGTGAACACTGCCCAGAACAAAGCTTCTGCTGTACTGCACAGTGAGTTGGAAGTAATTCAACGTGGTCCACTGGGAATAAAGCTCACATTAGGTAGCATAGGTCAGCGTCATTAAAGCTCCATAATCCATTACAAGGTTGTTTAAACACAAATAATCTAAAACAAGAATCTCCCTGGATTTAAAATTATGATAAATCAATGTTTTAAAAAGGACTATATATGCTTAGAGACATTTCTGCATGTCAGCAAACAAGCACATACATGCACAAGTATGCATCATACATACACAAATACACCAACTGTGATTTTGCCTTTTATCAGCCTACTCTGCTTTTCAGTGATAATGACCAGAAACCAGATCTAATTAGTTTTACACATTACTTCAAGTGATTTTGCCTTTTTTATATTTGAGAAAATAGAAAAGAAAATAGAAAATACGAATTCTCTGACCACCTGAAATAGAATAAGATGCTGGTAAAACTGATATTTTTTTTTTTTTTTTTTAAAAGGTAAGCTTTGGTCTTAGATGTGTGTTTTCTACAGTAATTCACTAGATACAAGTACAGAGCAAAGCAGAGATGTTCCCTAGCACGTTTCAACTGGAGTTCAGCAATAATATATGCATTCTCAGGAAAGCAAATAATCTCTCTTTGATTATTACTGTACATTGCTGCATAAAAGGATTAGTAGAATTTTATTCCTTTGGGGATGTGAAAGAAAGAGAAGGCAAAGAAGATGACGTACCGTTCGAGCCAAACTTTGCTTCAAAGTACTAGTGCTGTGCAGTCGAAGCTGAATGCAGGTAGTTGCTTTGCGAAGACTCTCATGGCTGCCCAAAGTATGATTGCTGCAGTTTGGGGGGGGAAATTAAAAATAGTAAATGGTTATCTCTATTTGCCACTGTCTTTTTTTCTTCTCTCCTTCTCCTAAAAGCACTGGTGGTCTAAAATCAAGTGCAAATAATATTGAATAATATAAAACCTTTACTTGGCACATACTCCTGTGAAAATTGATGGGGTTTGGGTCTGGCATATTCTCTGGTGAAACAATTTAAGAATAATTGCTTAGTTCCATCTTCAACCATTACATTCTGTAGCACAACAACAATGAAGGCTAAACAAACTGCACGTTCCCAAACCTTGAGACCATTCATGAATATTTTTCAAACCCAGATTAATTCAATTTATTAAAAGTACCTTAGTTATGAACACACCTCTAATGAATGACTTGTAGTGTTTGATACTCAACTTGAAAATCAAATACTAAATATCAGTTTGAAAGTCATATAAATTAAGACAGGTGTCCCTCGATTCTCAAAGAAATCAAAGTTCTCAACGTGTGCAGCTCACACTGAGATGGTAAAAGAAGTTGAGTTGGTCTTCCTCCCTCTCAAATCATATGGCAGCTACAGTCAGACATAGAGCTTTACTCACTCAGCTGGAGTGGTTCCTACAAACTGCTTTTTGGATCAAGGATGATCTAGCACCTTTAACAGGGGAACCCCTTATTTGCCTCTTAAAAGTAGCTTCTTACTTTATCACTCTTAAAACTACTTGGAACAAAAATAATTTCCCTTCCACTTTTTGTTTTAATCAGGTGAAATAACAAAAAAACCCAAACAACAACTTCATTTTATTTTACATTTTAAACATTCATTTGGGTTCAATGGGTAGGAAAAATGACACTGATTTTTGCAAAGACAAATTAATCACCAAAACAAGTTAATATGCAGCACCAGTTCCAGCTCTACTGTGTGTTCAATTTGATTAAATTTGCTTTTTTCATGCCTCCAGCCATATTTTTACAGATTTACAGTACAGCCAGTTTTTCAGAACTTCCTGGGCCATGAAGGAAAGAGGAGGAGTTTTCTGGTTTGTCAAGTGCCATGGAATACTCAGAATTCAGATGTAAAGTGTGTTACTTTGTACCTAAAAGTGCTTTTGATAGAATGTCTGAATAGAACTGGCTGGATTCAGTTCCAAAAAAAACATTCACCCTATTAATAAATCAGGGAAAGTGGGACTTAGGGGAGAGACTCATAACACGTGGCAGCAGAGGTCCCCAGCACAAATGAATGGTTAAACTTCAATAGTGTGCCATAACTAACTGCCATTCAGCACAATGACAGGGAGTTCATACAACTGATACATGTTCTGCATCTATATTACACTGTACTTAAATAAAGGACATACTATCCATTAAAGGTCCTTAGAAAGGTAGAAGTGTAGACATAGGATTTTATTTTTTAAAAAACATAAATTACAGATGTAAGTGTGAGAGTAGTTAACACCAACACTGTGAAACACCTGTACTGGTATAAAGTGTATTACTGTCGTCCTCAACCCTTCCCAAATCTCCTTACAAGCAAAACTCCAAGGGGCTAGTTCCTGAAACTGTACCAATGTGTAGATTTTCTTCTGTTGCTTCTCATCTCATACCTGTGTTGTGCATACCTATGGCTTTCTTGAAACTACTCCCCACTCCTCATTTTACCTGATCACATCTGCCTCACTACTCTAATGACAAACTGTCCCATGATCCTTGCATTCTTTGGAACTGCCTCACATCTGTGGAGTTTTTTTTTACCTTTTATCTCACACATATTCCTGCTCTTTCCATTCTGTCTTACCTTCAACCTTCCAACAAGCATAGTAACAATACCATTACATAGAAAAAACTGTTGTGAGTCCTGTCTAGCTTTTCCTTATTCCTCCCATACACACATTATTATTTTAATGGCAACATTGCACCCAGCTAATGACAGGAACTAGTATAGCTATACCAATACAGGGGAGCATTCAGCTAGGGTAAATTGGCATTCTATACTTGCCTCTGCAGTTACAATGTACCACAGATGTATAAAAACTATCTTTTGCAAGTATAATTATTCCATGTCATCAGGCTTGCAGGAGAAACAAGTTACACAAAAAAGTTGAATTTTGCGGTTATAATTACATTGTGTTTTGTTAGCTCTGCTGTGTCAGGCAGATTCTATACCTCATCAAATCCTCTATTGACATAGCAACGCTGCCTGAAAAACTGCAGTCAGAAGTACTGGCCATACAGTTGACTTCACGAGTGGATTTTATTTGCACAAATACAAAGATAAAGTTTTGACAAGTGGTGTGACACAAGAGACCAGACAAAATGGATTAATACCTCAAAAATAATATCGAAACTTGGTCTAGATGAAAAGCGAACCACAAGAAACAGACGTAGCTCTGCCATAGATTGACAGATGACCTTTTAGCCACACCACCAGCTGCAACACACTATGCAGATGTGCTACTATTCTTGTAATATTAAGATAAAATTAATATTGCCACCTTTAGAGGACAGCACGATTATTAGTAACTGATTTACAGTGATCTGAGCTCTGTAAGGGAAACACAAATAAAAATGCTACAATATGATTAACTCAGCAGTTTTCCTCCTATTTTTTTTTGGCTGGAGTTACTACGTGGAGAATCCAGCTTTGCTGAGAATGCCAGGTTAAAAGGCAGTCTTTAAGAGACAGTAGCGAAATGGTCAAAGTAAAGTGACTTGCCTCTGGTACCACAATAAACCAGAAAGGGAAAAATCCCTCAGTTTCCTGAGAATCCCTCACCAGTAGATTATTTTGCTTCCTCACATCAAGGTTCTCTGATGTACTTTAAGCTCCAAATCCTATTGCAGTTCAATCAGACTTTAAAAAAAAAAAAAAAAAAGATTCAGTTAAGCAGCATCTCTAAATGAGAAGTCTAATCTGCAGCGACAAGAGAAAATGAAGTTTATTTTTTACAAAGACCATATTAATCTAAAAGGTGCCTGTTTCTTATGATCCCAATCTGCATGAATGTTACTGTGCCCAATGTATAATTAATAGCTTAAACTTCACTTTGAGTGAAAACCAATTCTTATTTAGGTCTCAGTTCTCTGAGAACAGAATTGGTAAGGCAAAAAATGTCATCTTTAAAGTCATAGGCAGGCATATGAGCATAAATGATAAGCATTTAGATCTTTCTGTTCCACACTGCTACTCTGTATGTTGGTTAACTGCAAAGAAGTAAGGTAACTGTGCACATTACACTATTGTAGAGTTTGGATGTCATTAAAAATACATATGAAAAAATCCTTTTAAAAAATCCAATGCCTTAAAAAAAAAAAAAAAAAAAAGGCATATTTACAAATAAGCTTATAAATATCCTCAAACTACATTCTTTTGCTGCATTACTGCAACCTCTTGCTAACAGACAGATCAATAACAAAATAGAAACAAAAAAGTAAAACCAGAGAGCCCCATATTCTTACATACAGTCATGTGCTTTGTTTTATTAGGCATTTTGGGACACTGAACTTGTGACCCATAGCTCTAAAGGCAAAAGAGTAAATGAAAGGTTGATTCATCACTGTCACATAAGAAGGGTTGGTTTTGGCTTGCTGCTGGCATTGAGAGCTAGGAGTTATTTGACACAAGCTGCTTAACCCCAATTTATTTTTATACAACATCTTTCATGAAGGGCATCATAAAATCATTTTCAGGGGCACTCCTAAACCTATGGACAGATAAGAAGCTATGAAGGCAAGATTTAAAGGCAGATGTAGGTCTGTATGACAGGATGAGAAAGCACAGAATTTTTAGGAACAGCTGATGGCCCTCCAAGAAATCAAATATTATAATGAACAGGACAAGTGTAAGGGAGTGGAGAGCACATCCACAGCTGGGAAACCCAGAGAAGGAGGGTCTATAGATACATATGAAATTCCATAAATAGTGGTAAAAAATGACACAGATTGCGTTTTACTCCTCTCTTCTTCCAGGAGTCTCTGTCTCTCAAACATGGTTCTACCTCCTGATGAGCTTACACTGAACATCTAAAAAAGGAACTGCAGCAAATCAACTAGAGAAGTAACTAATGTACACCTTACGATGACAGAGGGGGCTGGGACAAGGTGACAGTGAAACCTGATAGCTTCCACAGGCACTCTTAGAAAAACTTGTGGGAAAAGGAAGCATAGAAGAAAAAGAAAGTCTGAAGGTTGAGGCAAGGCCAGAATTTCTGACTGGAAAACAAAATCAACTTAAAGACCAGAAAACAAATTACACTACAAATCACAGTATCACAGATGGTTCTAGTAGTTATGGACTAAGAAGCCTTCTGATATATTTTTTTTTTAATTTGGATATTGAAATCTGATATTCTACTTGTGAGTAAGATAGGAAGTGAGCTCATGGATATCTCTCCCTAGGAAAGCAATAATTGATGATGAAATCTCATGGTCCTGAGTGCAATGGTCATCAGCACACAAGTACTTTTTACTCACCTCATTCAAAGCTAAATGGGTTCCAGAAATTATCAAGTCTTTCAGGTGTGTCTGCAGGAGGCAGGATGAAGTGCTAATTAATGCAGTCCAATATAATAGTAAAGGAAAGCTTTTGACAGATCTTCACAATGTTGTATGGTTCACTAAACCTCTCTGGTCTGAGAGCAATTCATCATGTCACCGTTCTGGCTACACTTCATTTTTTTTCTGGATTACAATAAAGGAGGAACAGCAGAGTACTTATTGCCCGTGCCATCTCATAACTTGGGGAACTTCTACTGGCATTCACCCCTGAACGATTTCCAAATACACTTGTGGGGAAGAACTCTGCACAAGTACCTCAAATCACTCTGTTAGCAACATCACAAAGAAAACAATTTGAACTAGAAGGTAGCCCAAACACTGAAAAAAATTCATCTTGAGGCAACTCCGTAGGCCCTATTAAGTTACCTGAGGGATCATCATGGTCTGGTGTTTCAAATTTCAAGATACAGACTCTGATGACAAGGCAGAAGAAAAGGAGCTGCTAGTACAGCAGGGTATAGCATTACAAGCTGCTGAGGCCAGAAGTGCAGCTCAGTGCTTTCTGCATGACAGTGAAGGAGCAAAGCAAAAAATCTGAAAATATTATTGACCTTGTTTCTCTGCTAATGAGACGTGCAGAGATTCTGCAAGTGCAGGAATTTAAACAGCCCACTATTGATGCATTCATCCCAACAGTGAAAATGAAGCTGTTTAGAACATACTGTACGCTGTACTGAAACACTCTGAGCTCATCCACAATACAATGACTCATTATTTTCATTTTCTTTACCAATTAGTTTGAAATGAGAAGGGAGACTTGAAAACAAAAGAGCACCCTGGCCTTCTTGTATAATTAACAGATCTATGTATGACCTGTTTCCCCATTCAGTGGTTCTGGTGTTGTAATTCTCCACACAGCACCCTGCTGTACCAGCTCCTGCTTTATGGAGATTTGAAGAAGAGTTGGCTCAGAAATGTTCAAGTCTCCATCTTTAGTTGCCAAGCCAAATCCACCATAAACATTCCAACAATTGACCTGTGTAAGGGTAGAAGTGTCCAAGCCAGCTAAAGAGCAAAGCTAATTTAAACAGTGTGATACTTTCTCTCACAACTACATTATTTTTGTTAATCTAGCTGACTTTCTTTGGGTTAGTTCAGGTCATTTTTACACTATACTGCAAATATGACTGCTTCTAAAAATTTCCCTATCAATTATGGACGTATACTATTTTATCTTACACTTTCATGTCTCTAACAGATGAGCTGTGATTCCTGGAGTTCCAGCTTAATATGCTACCACAGAGACTACCAACTTCTCTCCTTCTGCTGAAAGTCACCATCCCCACAGTACAGCTGACAAGAGCTTGCATTTTAGCTGTTTCAACACAAAATCTGCTCACTTTTGCTGACAGCTGAATTTAAGCTGCCAGAGGGCAAGAAACAACCAGCTAAGTCCAGTAGTGCTTTCAACCACCACAAGAGTTTGCTTGAATGAATGCATATCAGAGCATGTACTTCCTTATTTGTAGACTATATACAAACAGGTCTTTCTGAATGTATGCATAATGTATTTTTCTTCAACTAGCAGTCAGCACCAAAGCGCTGACTTCATTTGTTTTACTACTGATGCAGCTGGATAGAAAGAAAAATCACCTGCTATGCAGCTGCATAATACTTTTTTCTCATCTCTTTGGTGATTTCCCCCTCTGAGGATATGCATACCCACTCATGCTGATAAAACTCTTATGAGATACTGGAAATAACAACATCCTCGTATTACAGATGAGGAAGACCAGAAGGACAAAGAAATGAAACAAATTATTCAAGGCTGCACAAAGCTTAAATAAAGGAGCCAAGATCTGAATCCCTGCACTAGAGCACACCATCATCTCTGTAGAATATTGCTACCACGTGTTCCTGTTTCAGGAGTTCCAGAACTATACACTGAGTGTTTGGAACAAATACTCTATTAACACTCCCTGTAGTTCTGTTTACATGGCACATAAAGCAGAATGCATTAAATGCACGGCTTATATTACACAATACATCCTCGATACCGTCTCTTAACGAGATACTTACTTTTGTAAGAATTCATCAGACCCACAAACATTTAGAAGGCATTCTTCCGGTATTGAGTATTGATTTGTGCAATGGAGGATCTCTACAATTAAGTTACGAGTGATACAGCCAGCTGTAAACAAAGATAGCAAGAAAAAAATTGATAGTAGCTTGCTGGAGAAATCCAGGTTATATTCTTGAGCAAAGAAAAGAAGCATTTCTTTCTAATTCCTAACTACTGCTGTAGACTAGCTCCATCAAGAGGAATTAGATCAAGCCACACCTGATTAATTTTTATTATTTAATTTCACTTCAAATACTCTATACTAAGTCACAGAATCTATGTCCTTGTAAAGCAAATTAGCATAACATGGTCTGATGCAAAAGTTGACTCTGTTGCTGCTCATGACACAAAAAAAGCTCCAGAAATTTACTTGCTATTGTTTCTGCTGTGCACGTTTTTAGCCATAACCAAGAAGTAACTTAATGCTGATACGCATCATATATATAGATATAATGCATATATGTTAAGAAGTTACATGTAAATTAATTCAAACTCTTCAGAAATACTCTACCATTTTGAGTATTTTACCCAGTGCTACTTCAGCTTTTTAATCCTTTTTTTCAACCCCACCAAAAACTTCCTTTCTGCTCATTTTAGAAGGGCTGATAAAAAATTGGAAAATACTATCTGCCTAAACTGGCATTCAGGTTGCAAACACATCTCATGAATTTTATCATTACAGGCTTGCAGGGCATACTCCACCAGTACTAATGCTCCAAGTCTGAGATACTTCTCTTTACCAGAAAAAATATCTTACTCTTCACTGAAAATTTTTCATATACTCTTCCAAGATGGTTTTGCAATGCAAAATAAAGTCTGTACTTCCTCCACAATTCTTAGGCAATTTAATTGTCTGTAATTGATAGCAGGAAGAACAAAGTAGACATTTTTTTTTCCATTTATGGTATTTCTTTACTGCTTCAAAGTTAAAAGCTAACATCCACTAAAAGCTCTTACTACAAGCTTTAAGTGAACTTTTTAATATAAAAACTGAAATTACCTACAGTTAAACAGAAATCCCCAGAAAATAAACGTGTAACCCACACTCATGAGTTGACTAATTTACACTGTTCCAGGTTCAGACAACTGGTTCAAACTGAGACTAATCAACAAGTTTGATGTGGTTTAATCATGTTCTGAACTACTCAGTTGCTCAGGAGCAGTTAATTCATACTGGCAAATCTGGTCCTGAGTCGCTATGCTAGTATTTTACAACAAACCTAGAAAAGCAAAATTGATTTTGCAGGGAAGCTTAAAGGAATGTGATACTGAAAAAACTGTCAGAGGACAACTGACATTTGCAGGGGTGGGGGACTGTGACAAAAACAAAGCTGAAACAAAACAGAATTGATTATCATAGATAGCTTGGGGTTTGCTTTATTTTTGCTTCCCCATGGAAGAACAAATGTGTGCATGGATTCTAAAGCTCCTTCTGAAAATTTTCAGTTTCTGTAGAGAGTAATTTTTCTTCTGCTCAGACAGCCTCTTTGATTAAACGTTTTCTAGCAGTCATAGAAACACAGATGGTTTGGGTTGTAAGGGACCTTAAAGATCACACTAGTTTTAAATGTCTATCCCTTTGACAACTCACTGTCTTAAGCAACTTCTCATAGCTGGTTTGACATGTAAAATGCAGGGCTCCTTTGCTAAATTTATACACACTGTGAAAAAGAAGAATGGTACAGAACCTTGAATTAAGATTATAACATGCATTTTTCCAGGTCACTAATTGGAAAAAAAACCTGAAACTTGTTAGTATAATTTGCACTCCACAGAACCATTTCCTTTCCTTGCTCTCCTAAATGTTGTTGTGTGACTGAACAATTCTTTATGTTCTTCACGTTAGATGGGAAAAAAGTGTACTCCCTCCCTGCCTCCCCTCTTTGAATGTATCTTCCTGTTTTCTTAGCTTGTAAGCAAGTTCAGGATAGGGACTGTTTCTTATATCCCCTTCAGTTTTAGTTGGGCTTCCTAAGGTGTTTTTGTAAATAAAGTTATACAGACCAAAAACTGAATGATCTGTAAGGTGAACAATGGTCTATGGTAAAATATTTGTCAGTAGTTCAGACTTCTGCATTAAAGGGAATTAAGTGTTGACCTCTCGCCTAGTGACAGAAGTGCTGGAAATACTACCTTCTAGTCCAAGCAATCCCAAGCACTGATATAGACTGGGCAGTGACTGGCTTGAGAGCAGCCCTGAAGAAAAGGACTTGGGGGCATTGGTGGATGAGAAGGTCAACATGAGCTGGCAGTTTACACTTGCAGCCCAGAAAGCCAATCATATCCTGGACTGCATGAAGAGAAGCATGGCCAGTAGGTTGAGGGAGGTGATTCTCCCCCTCCACTCAACTCTCATGACACCCCATCTGGAGTACTGCATCCAGTTCTGGAGCCCCTATTACAAGAAAGATATAGACATGCTGGAACAAAGGGTCACGAGGATGATCAGAGGGCTGGAGCACCTCTCCTATGAAGACAGACTGAAAAAGTTGGGGTTATTCACTCTGGAAAAGACTCCAAGGAGACCTTATTGAGGCCTTCCCCTAACTTAGAGAGGCCTACAAGAAAGCTGGTGAGGGACTTCTTAGGATATCAGGTAGTGGTAGAACTAGGGGGAATGGATCAAAAACTAGAGGTGGGTAGATTTAGTTTAGATGTTAGGAAGAAGTTATTCACCACGACGGTGGTGAGACACTGGAACAGGGTGCCTAGAGAGGTGGTGGAAGCCCCCTCCCTGGAAGTTTTCAAGGCCAGACTGGATGGGGCTCTGAGCAACCTGATCTAGTGGGAGGTGTCCCTGTCCATGGCAGGGGGTTGGAACTAGATGATCTTTAAGGTTCCTTCCTAACCCAAACAATTCTATGATTCTAAGAGTCTTGAGACTTCAGTCCATCATTTCACAGAATCCACAAAATATTGATTCAAGATGATTCAACCTACTACTTTGACAGCCTTTCCAATAAATATATAGCTGGTCCCAATACAATTAACCAAACTTGTATGAGTTAATGTGGAAGTCTTGGCTAATATATTGATGAAGATATATTTTTAAATAGATGTTGACTGACATTCTGTAGAGCTTTGGTTTTTCAGCTTTCAACTTGTCAAACAAACTAATACTTAGCCTGTTATAGCTAAATAACCCCTTGACAGCTGAGGGAAGATTACTAAAAAGACTGCCACTTAATGAAGCAGCACAGGAAAAGAGGAAGGGGAAGGGGAGGCACTTATTTTTAATATATTACATTTTTGCTTATGTGGCTTACGAGGTCAAAACTGTCACTGCTGGGATAAAAGATTCTCTCATTCAGGACAGACACAGGATGCAGTGGAGCAGTGGCAGCTTCCCACAGGCACTAGTGACAGAATAATTCAGTAGGTCCATCTAACTCCAGCCCCTTCCCAGAAGAAGGTTAAAAAAAAACAACACCTCCAAGGATGGAGACTTCACAGCATCCATGGGCAACCTGCTCCACTTCTTAATTGTTCTCCTTTCCTTTACACCCAGTTGGAATTTCTCTGTTTCATTAAACTGCAGCCTTGGGTGCAGAGGAATCTTAGTGACTACAGACTTCTAAGTCTTGGATTTAGAAACAAAGTCAAGGCTGTGAAAAGTTCCACCACTTTATGAGGACTAGGCCCTCTTCTTCCTAAATTCCTTCTGAATCTAAGTCTGAAGGCTGGCCCACTTGAAACTGCCAAAATTGGTCCCAGCTGCGGTTAAAGAAAGTAGAGATCTACACATTAGCTATGTTCAGTATTTAATATTATTTTAATTTTACAGCAAATGTGCTGGACATGTTTAACAAAGTATGTACTCAAGAATTGTGTAAGGCTTGTCCTCCAAGTATCCTTCCAGATAACAAATGCATTTTGTTATCATCTCAATGGAACAGAATTGTGGAAGGATATAGAAACCTTAATCACTTACCGTGTTGTGTAAGAAGCAGAGGATATGGTGAACAATCTGTCCAAATGCTGATTCTGAACTTTAATTCACCAAGAATATGGTCTGGGAACCTTGTTGCAACACTCCAGATTTTTCCAGTGTTTGTCTTCATGTCAAAAGCAGGATAAACATTTCTTATTCTGAAAAGAACATGATGAAATTATGTCTAAATAGGCATGCAGATCAAAATTCTACAAGATATAAATAATAATAGTACATAGAGAGCTGATAGGAATAAAACACTACGCAGAGAGGAAAAACGTAGCAACTCAAACTTTGTTTCCATACATTAGTGAGGTAGTTACATATTAGTGTGCATATAACTCCATCTTGTATTTAATAGGAAAACTACCGGCAAAATCTTCATGAACTTCACAGAACCAATGCTGAGCTTTACCTCAATGAAGCCAGAAGGAGTTTAAACATACACTGCAGTGTACTGTGATGCAAATAACTTGAGCATAGAAGAAATGAGGTGGTCGAATAAGAAAGCTTTAACATTAAATTAGCCAAGATCACGTGCACAGACAGCTGTGACTAATGGTCAAAATGAATATAGCAACATGCTTTCAATGCAAAATCTTAAGAAGTTCCTATTTTCACCATGCATCAGAATCCAGTCTGAAATCCTCATTACTAAAACCCTGGGTGTTCATGGAAATGTCTGTAGAGAGCAATAACTGCTACAGTCATTGAGTTGGTCTGATCTAATATACTACTATCTATAAAATATATTGCTCCTCTTCCTTCCAATTACCATAGACCCGCAGAAACTAATTTCTCCTGAGGTACTATTTCCTAATGAACAGTGGTCACAGGTATTATGGATGTCAGCTGAGACTAAACTTGCTTTTTAATCAAATATACTTTGCAGCTGCAGGTAAGGGTACATATTGTACCAGCTGAAGCTTTACATTTCACTAATTGGCTTGAATTTTTAGTAGCTAAACTCAAACATCCTGTACTAAGCATACTACATTCTGTTTGTTAGTTCAAGCAGCATTTTGTAACTTCTGTGCTGGCAGCACTTTATAGCATCTCTGATGACAGCATATTTTGAGCCACAGTTTCTTGCACATTAATCTCTTCATTAGTATGTTACCTCCTGCCTCAGGGCTGCCACCCAAGTCTCTTTAAGAAAAGTATGAACTCCTCTTTTATGCCATGTATTTCTATAGCATGAGAAGGAAGAAAAGCCTTCGCTTCCAAAATTAAGAAATGAACTGCCTCGTTGGTTTATTATTATGAAAAGCCAGGGGGCATTGTGTTTCAGTGGGGTAGGAGGAAATGAGGCTTGACAATACCTCCAGTACATGAAATAGATTTATAGTAATAGTAAAAATCATTATACTATAGAGGCTGCTTTGGTGACCTATATAATAGATGTCAGCCTATTTCCTTTGCTAGCAAGGTAGACATAAAGTTTTCCTCTATCACCAAATTCAGTCTTGTAACCTGTTTCTGTAAAAATGTCAAGGAGTGAGTAAGACTGGGAACTTCACTACCCTTTCTCCAGCATCAAGTTAATGGACTATGTACACACATGGGGCATGAATCACCTCCTCAACTTAACAGCAGTCATTTCAAAACTAAGCAAACCTCATCTCTCACTATCTATAGTCTAGGATATTGTGAGGATGCAAATTTGCTTTTTATGCTTTTCAGATAAAAATGCATTCAGTTCCAGGAAGTGTTGTTCATTTATGACTATTATCTTCAAAAGATTAAAGGGCTTCTGGCCTGAGAATGTGGGCAAAACATACCCATCACTACATTTTGAAAGTTTAGGTCTTCCAGGGCATAACTACAGAAGTATTACATTAAGAAAATAGTGTGCTGCTTGCTTTCTCTGCTACAACAACTCAGTGTATGGAGAAAATACTAACACTTATAAAGATTTGCTATTTCACAACATTACGTAATTCTATGTATTTTTCTGTGGCACAGAGCACATCCTTGAAGTCAGTAGGAAGTGTAGGAACTCTGCATTTTGCTGCACTGAGCCCTGATACTATCACATTGGCATCTTCTGGTATGAAACTCGCTTTAGGATGTGTTTTGGAATGACCCAGGGATGACTTAAATATAGCTATGTCTATAATTGTAGAAGTAAGCTGATAAAGGGGTTTTGAAAACTGCTTTGTAAGTGTGTAAAACGATACGTTGCAATTATAGATTGCTACCTGTACAAATATTACCTAGAGAAAAACATGATGGATTTCTATTTGTGCTACATGCTGGGGGTGCAAGTCTGCATGACACAGAGTTCGAAATATACATCTTGCCTGTGATGTATAAAACTGCCAGTTACCGAGATTCTTTGGGGACTGGAAGGATACTCATTTGGCAAGACTGAATATGTTAGTTATTTGCAAATTTATTATTTTTTTTCCTCTTTTGTTAGCTGTGACATTTTCTCCTAAGAATGCTTTCCCATGTATTTGATAGAAGAAAAGCAAAGTTTGTTCTTATTTTCTTTAAGAGAGTATTTGTTACTGATGTACACTAAACAAGTTACTGCAAAACAGGAACAGATTATTTCTATTAATCTTTTCAGCTCTATGAATAAAAAAAAGTTATTCAGAAAAAAAATAATCAATAGAAAGCTTTGCCTATAATGAGAGTGCAAAGTTAAATGCAGAATGCTTGGATTTAAAAAAAAATCTGGTATCTGAAAGCCTATCATGTGTAATGTGCCTTCATGCATCTGATGTTAGTAGAATTAGATTGGGGTTCAGACTGATGAAGTGTGGAAAAAAATAAAACAGACGTATGTGAATAAGCATGTCTTGAAGCTGACAATCCACCCCATATGAATATATAAGATATTCAATGCTAATATCAAGGCAACATGAGACTAGGGTTGTTGGTTTGTTGTTTATTTGTTGTTGGGATTTTGGTTGTGGGCTTTTTGTTTTTGTTGGGGTTTTTTGGTGTTTTTTTTGTTGTTTTTTTAAGAGAATCAGACTTGGCTGACCTTGACTACAATCAATTCCTTAAAGATTAATTAAAAAAAAAAAAAAAAAAAAAAAAGCAGCATTCCATTTTCCAACAACATTTCTGGGTTGCACTTTTGCTAACAACTTGATAGTTCAATCAGTGAACATCTACAAAGGAAAAGGAAACACACAGATGGTCTAAAAAAGTATTTCTAAGAGCTCTTGGATTTCAACACAATTTCTTATTCCAAGAAAGATTAAGTAAAAAAAGTTCTATCCCATTAAGCCACACTATTAACTGTAAACAAAAAGCAAAGGAGTTTTTGTCGCTTAGTATGTCTCACTTTTCATCATGACAGCACATAGTAATTCTGTTCTCATCAATCAGTTCCTTCAATTCTTTTTTGTGCTTCGAGCTACACAGGCACTAACATTATCCAAGACAATTGTAGACAATGGATCTTAAGTTTCACACACTATAAGCCATCAATACTGAAGAGACAAATGTAGTTGTCACTAATAAAGAGGACAACTCAGGGTGAATTTTTTAAAAAAAATTAATATTCCTTTGTGAATTTTAATCTTTAAACAAAAATTAGGAGTGTTTCCATATTGAAGTAGATATTGGAAGTATAGCACTGTTCAGGAATATAGGGATAACCAATCTAATTAATATATAGTGAAATGTCATAGTTGACTGAATAAATATTTTTTTTTCACTACTTACTTCTCCACTGCATTGCAAAAATCAACTGTGTTTTCATTACTTCCTTGATTTGCTTCAACCAGCTGGATAGACCGACCTGTAGCCTGAAAATACCAAAATGACACCAGAAGAAACAAAGCTCAGTTATTTAGATAAGAGAAGAAGGTGCATAGGGCCAAACTTCACATTTGGTTCCATGAGAAGTACCTTTCATACCTTATCATCCCTCCCCTGACTTTACAGAGTTCCAATTGAGCAGAAATAATCCAGTTTTGACTGCAATCTAAATGCTTTCAGAGAAAAAAACCCACAAAGACACAAAGCATCATATACCCTGGGTTTAAAGATTATTTTTTTCCCATCTGTGCAGAGCAGAAGGAATTCCAGACAAAGCTTTCAAAATTGATTTAGTGTCAGAGCACAGACAACTCTAGATGCAGGAAATGTATGCTCAGTTTACAAAAGAGAGAGAGGACAAAACGAAGCTTACACTGCACTGAGTTTTAATCCTTATTTGCTCTCTTTCCGCCCTGGAATGAAGCTCACTATCCCTTCAAACTCCATAAACCTGTCAGCAAAGTCCCCAAGACAGACAAGAAGTAGTCAGTGTACTCTGTTAAACCTGAAAAATTCCCAGATACTTCCTCTAAACTTGGAGAGTACAGGTCTGAGCCACTATTTTGGATCAAAGCACCGCCTTGCCTGTTTGCTGTAGTAGAACTTCAGTCAGAACACTACCTCCAGGATACAGCTTAACACTACTGTACCTGCAAGCCCATTCTACTGTTCTACATAGACACATGTACAAGGCTCAACTGAGACACCAACTTTTAAACCCCTTCAGAAAGAGAAGCAACTAATGACATAACACGGAAGAGGAAAATAAGATATGGTGAGAGATGTATTTCATAATAATTTATACAGAAGTTTGTAAATTTATTAATATTTTATTTTTTTTTTTAATTTTTTTTTTTCCTGGACAAGGAAGTGCAATATGCATGAAAAGATGCAGACTGGGAAATTTATATATGACTCCAGTCTCCACTCATTGCAAATAACTGAGTGTAGTGAATGAGACAGCAAATTGAGTATGGAGAGAACCAATGACAACTATTTTTTCCCATCTGCAGATTTCTTACACAATGCTAATCAAGTCACCTGCACCGTCCCTCCTAAATATGAACTCTAATAGTGTATCTCTCATTTCTGGAGCATCCAAACTGAAATAATGAGGTATGGTCTGATGAGTGGACTTGGGTGAAAAAGTGAGCAGCAGCCAAATCTACTGGATGTTTTTTAGGCTATATTTCAGTTTTCTTTCTAATGTGGACAACAATAAAATACCTTTTTATAGGATTTTATGAAGGCAGTTCCTTTAGTATTTTTGAACATCTGATTTGGTGATGACAAAACCAGATAAAATTAATGTTTCCTTTATTACACTGGGCATATTCATACAACCACATCCAAGAATCAGAATGACATTATTTCAGCAATGTAAATATTTCACCTTGCATACCTATAAGCTATCTCAATGCTAATCTCCATGTTTCCATTTCAAAATTTCCATTTCACTCTGTCTACAGTCTTAGTTCTCATTTCCTGCTCCACAGATGCATCATTTACTCATCCTAAACCTCAGCAATCCAGTCTGTGCTCTTTATACCTTTCTTTTGCTGTGGTACTCCACTTTCCCAACTGTTCTGACAGTCTTACTTGGCATCAGCTCTTGCTCTTCTTGCCTTTTCCAAAACTCACAGTCTGGTAGTAATGAGTTACCTTTTTTTTATTTATTTATTTATTTTTTATTTTTTTATTAACACATCACTCTCTCAACTTGCTTTCATTCTTGTTTTCCTTTCATACCATCTGAAGGTTCAGTTGCCAGCCCCTTGTCTTGGCTCTCTTTCTATCCTGACATGGCTGTTTCTCCCTACAGGAATTCCTGTGGTCACACAGATTTTTCTGCTACAAATCAATTCGCTCCTCTCCCATTTCTTCCTCTTCTAGCTAAACAGTTCAAATACTTCCCTGACTTCATCAAATCCTCCCACACATTCAACCGTAGTCACCCTTGACTCACTCATCTCTTCCTTCCCCTGCAATTCTCTCCTCCTCCATCACAGAAGCATTTATGTCTGTTCTTATATGCCTGCTTCATCTAGAGCTTCTGCTTCCCATATTACAATTTAATCTCCCCCTTCTCATTTGTATCCCACTATTTTCTACTCTTCTCATGAGAATGCTTGTTCTTTTCATCATGATGCGAGAATGCTTAGTTTTCCTATCACAAGAAAAAAAACAACCTTTTGTCTCCCCACCTATTCATCCCCTCCTCTTTTGTATTCATCACTGAACTTCCAAAATGTGGTGCCCAGGATTAGTCTTAAGAGTTTCTGTCCTCAGATATATTTCCCCCTGCTGCCTCCCCATCTGTCTTGGTCTGCATATGTTTACTATTATAGTTCTCCCTATGCACAGAGAAACAAGTCAATCAAGTGTCTCTTCCTCTTTGCTTATAATACTGTGATTACTGAGAGTTAAAAGCAGAAGGTGAACCTAAACCATCCTTTAATATTCACAGTGCAGAGGTATCCTGTAGGCTATTTCAGGATTCTTATAATGATTCAGAATGCTAACAGGGACTAGAGGAAAGTGAGGATTTATCATTTTCTTTTTCATTCTCTACGTCAGGATTTCGAAAGAAGGAAAATTAAGAGACATAAAACATTAGAGAGTCATGTGAATCCCATAAGACCTCGTTACTAAAACCAGCAAAACCACAGAGCTATGGAAGGAGGAAAAAAAAGATAAAGTATTTGCTTCAAAAGGGCAGCTAAAGACAGAGTCTATATCATAGGATCCAGCTTCCACAGTTATAGTAGATATGTCTATTTTTAGAAAATAATTATATATGCACACGTAAGTACATGCAGAACACTGTATGTTACATCTCTCAGGATCAGGATATGTCAGCCAAACTAGACAGAGACAATCTGGCTCACCATAAAAACAGATTCAGCATAATCATAGAATGCCAGGTTGGATACACTGTTATTTTGAATCTCAGGTTTCATACTAGCCTATACAAATTAGTTCTCTTCTCTCTTTCAAGCACATTTTACTCTACATTTCTGTACTTACCCCTCTGTGGTTGTTTTATGAATCAATGGACCATAAACTGAGCCAACGGGAGCATTCTAGACCATAATCTAGATTGTCTTCTGATGTAAAATGGCAAGTTTTCACTAGAGTCAATGGAGATACTTAATTTTATACTAGGTGAGGAACTGGCCCTACTACTTTAAAATGAAGTATTTTTTTAATAGGTAGGTTGCAGAAATGTGTTGACATTTTAACTATAAGTTGATTAAAACATGAAACAGGTAGGACACACATTCTGCCAGGATAAAATTCTCATTTTATAGTTATTCAGAGTAGGCATCTTCCCTTGAAAAGCAGTTATTTATGGTCTGCTGAATTCTCTTCTAATGTTAGAATCAAAGAATGAGGATGCTCGGAGGTTTTCATACTGTATAAAAATCTCTTAATCAATCATGTGCTATTTGTTTCAGGGCATAAGCCTTGTAAAGATAAAAAACCACTGTGTGAAATTTTGACTGGCAAGAAATCTAGTTACACAATTATTGAAAAAACACACCTGACACTTCCCTGCATCTCTATCTTTGGAAATAGTAAAGACCAAATAAGAACTGAATTAGAAGTCTCACCGTTGCTTTTGGCCAGCTGAATCATAAGATACATGACAAAAACTCTACAGAAGCAAAAGCTTTTGTTTCCCCCAAGACACAATTCTTTTCTTTTTTATCAGGTCTTTAAATCAAGTGCTTCTAATCTATGCTGCATCAGTGCAAGTGAATACACAGTGCAAGATATAAACAAAAATCAAGAACTTTACTGTTAATTTGAGAAAATGTAAATACCTCTCTGTCACGTCCAGATCTGCTGGGCCACGTAAGACCTATTTCGCATCTTCCGGAAGCATCAGTTAAACAGGCTTCCCTATTTCCACTTCCACCTCTCGCTTCTTGTCCAAATGGATAGTTGTCTAAGAAAATGGGGCATTGAGAGTCTACATTGTCAAAGCCCAGCTGAAAACTCTGATTTCTGTTGCCTCTTTCCACACTTGAATCAAATACGTTTGTGACTGGAGTTATAGTATTCCCTCTGTACATTTCTCTCTCTTGACTGTATGAGTAGGGATCTGTCAGAGAGAAATCTCTGTAATCAGATAGTAAAGAAGATCTGAAGCCAATTGTTGGTGACATTGTACCTTGTTGCCAGTGAGAGTCAGGATTTCCAGGGCAAAGTTCACCATAAGCAAGTAGAGGCTGACCACAAAACTGCTGGTCAGGCACATTCAGACCAAAGACATCTGATGGAAAATACATTTCTTCATGATGATGTGAATGTGATGAACCATAAAAAAAAAATTCATTGCTGACTTCATCAACTATTCGATCGAATCCTAGATGAATCTCTCCATCAGAGCCAGAAGGGCACATTGGGTAAGATGTGCAGTCCCCAGCCTGTCCTTCATGAAATTCATTGTGTGAGAAAGGCACCATCCCAAAGTATGCCATGGCTGATTCTTCTGTTCAGTTTTATTAATCCTCAGGGAAGTCTTACAATAGTTCCAAGGTCAAGAGAGTAATGTTCAGAATTGGAGCAACATACCCCCTGAAATGAAGCAAGGAATAAAAGTTAAACCCAAAAATACCTACTATCATGAAAGCAGTAGACTTCTCTGGTCTTTTCTGGCTTTAGAGCTTTCTACACTGGGTGGAAATAGTTTCTTAATCTGAAGCTTGAATATTCTTTTGCCTGATGCTTATTTCTAGACATTTTTTTTATTATTAAATAACAATAATAAAAACAGTAACACACCAGCATCAGGATGCCTGAAACAATTTATCTAAATACGAAGATATTAATTCTGACAAACATCAAAGAACCTTTGCATTGTTTCCATTATTTTACACTTGTATAGCATAGTTAATATGTAGGAATAAAAAAAAACCACAACAAAACACAAAAGCAAGTAGGGAAGATTTGTAATAATGGTTGCTTTAATGTCAGTTTCATTCACATAATCTTTTTTTTTCTTTTGCTTCAAATTTCTTCATATTCTACCATTTTTCACCCTAGTGTAATTGCATGAAGAAAATGTATAGGTCAAAAAAAATAGAAGACACGGATTTCCAATTAGTAACTAAAATCTTATACTCCAAGAGCTTGGATATGGCATCTATAAAGGAAAGCAAATATAAATACAAAATTCTTTCTCTTTCTTTGCTTTTCAAAACAGATACATCTTCAAAGCCTGAGGTTTTATCTTTTCAGTTAATTAACAGGCAGGGGCATGAGCTTCTGCAGAAGCTCATCATCATGTGTGCTGTTACTAACAAACTTCCTAATATGATGTTGACATGTGGCAAGCAGTCCTGCAGTTCAGATGGGCAGCATGTACTGGAAACTGCTGTCAATAGGCATGTGGGTATGTTTTAGGAATAGAGTTTAGTTCTAAAACCAAAATCTGTTCTGGGCCACACACTCTCAAGGCCTTGGCCTGTTTAATTTACTGACACAGATGTAGCCTAAAAAACGCAAATGATACAGAATAGCAATACTACATAAAGTACACAGTTGTGCTGGATACTTTATCAGAGATAAGAAATAGAAACATCTGATTTAATAATTCAATTAGAAAAACATGTATTCTCTAGAAGGAAAAAAAGCTACCAAGATAAAAATTGTGCTCTAAAATCACTAAAGCTTAGCTCCACAAACAACATTTTCCAGTATGTCCTCAAGATCTATACCGTATTTGTTCAGAAAACAGTGTCTTGCAATAAAAATCTGTATTACAGCAGAAGGCATTCATCACAAGTTTATTTATTTTTGTTTTATTTGAAGTCTAACTGTAGGTGGCACAGGCTTCTGTCACCCACAGTGAAGAATGAGAAATGAAAAGTTAAATAGGCTGAAATGAAATATTCAAGTTAGAGGTTGAACTACTCTTCTGAGTGCTCAACTTGGTGATTCCAAGTGTTGTGTGCTTTGGTTTGCTCTAACTGTTTTGGAAGAAAAAAGCATTTATAAAGTGACAGTAAGCCAGATCGCCAGAATGATGCATACTGCTTTGAAAGGTGAGCTAAGCATGATATTCAGTTAAGGTCTCTGCACTTCTCTCTTAGAACAAATCCTCAAGTTCACTATGTTGTTAGATTAAGATGACAATCTTTTTTTTTTTTTTTTTTTTTTTTTTTTCAGAAAAATTAAAAGCCACAGCAAAATATTTTTAAATTACTATCCTAATTTATAACTTCCTCAGTTTCTCACTTCTACAGCAGTTAAATAAAAATAAGAAAGAAAGAATATATCTAATAAAGCAAGAAAGAACACCTTTCATTATTATTTTTTTTTTCCCCATCTTGAAAATTGGAATGTTTCAGGAAAAACAGAAAATAAAAGAATGGTTTATCCCTCCAGGCTCATATTTCTTAATAGAGTCTGGTTAGCTGAAAGACTGTAATAGAGAGACATCTAATATATAATATTATGATACTTTTATATATATATATATGACTATATATAAAAACTATAATAATATAAAATACCTTTTATGCCATTTTAATTGTTTCTAAAATATTTTATTTACATTTCAAACAGCTTCTCTTTATAATGATATATGAACGTCTAACAGCTAACCTTGCTTATTCATCACTAAGTCTTTTGTGTAGTATCTTACATTTCTCTGACAGATACACAGAGCCCAGCTCCATCTACCTGTATATGAATGCTTATCTCCTGCACTCTCCATACTGTTCAGGAGAAGTTGGTCAGTGGCATTCTGCTCAGTGGGCTGGGAAGTCAGCACCATGCAGTGGGTTCCCTCTACCAGCATGGACCACATCAAAAGGAGGGCCTGGCAGAAAGCAGACAGCTGTACAGCACCATTTGTAGCACCGTGTCTCTTCTATATAGGCTTGCATTTAAAAATAACTATTTAGACTGGGAACTCAGCATTGCCATGTTGTAAATCTCAATTGTTTACATGCTACCTGCTAGTTTGGTTAGTAAGGACAGGCTCTGCATTTGGGCCAACTCCTCATGCTTTTAAAAACAGCATATAGGGTTTGCAAAAAGATCTGGCTCTTTGCCAACCACTTGTATCATGCAAAGGGCATTTATAACACTGAATTTTCAAAAATTACTAATGAGGCAAAATGTGTAATATTTTTTAAAAAGTTAAGTCTTTAGATTAATTTTCTTTGCCTTGTGGTTAATTGTCTCTGCCTTGGAGGGTTTGGCTTTTTTTCTGCTACAGCTACGAAGCCCTCCTTTTCTTTTTAAATGTCAGCCGTGTTCTCACATAACCATGCAGGTATGAGATCAGAAGTTTTAAGGGACAACAAATGCTGTAAAATATTAACTACAAATCAGAAGATTTGACAGCACAGCACAACGCTCACAACATTGTAGCACCGTCCAAGCACACAAAAATGCTTTCCTTACTTCAGCATGCACATACATTCTAGTATAAAAGCTTGGTGCACTGAGCTCAATCTTCCCTTTCTCCTGGAACCCAGGAGGAGACAATTGGGCCACTTGGCAAGCAATAAGAGTATTTGCTGCAACTTCTTACCTGAAACACATAATTTGTGAGAAGAATACACAGTCTCCTATGCCTTCCTGGTCACAGGTACATTCAGATGACCTATGTGCTTTCAGTATCAAGGAGGTGGAACTTTTTTGTCAGAAGCTTTCTTTCCTGTTTAACCAGTTTACTGAGGTAATGATTCTTTCCCTTCAGGGAAATTTCAAACAGCAGTAACAATAAAAAGGTAGCACCTTATCTGCTCTCTTTCTCAATTTGGGAACACAACCTTTTTTCTTTTTTTTTCCTGTTTCTTTTAAACATGGTGGTAGATGATCTCATGCTTTCAGTACAAGCACCAAACATGCTTAAAATAACAACTTCTCCAAAGACTTCCTTCTTAGACTTCTGCATAAGAACAGGATTCAGAAATTTTACTCTACTGCCTCTTCATGCATCTTTCGTCTATCTGTGCTGGTGGTGTGCACTTTGAAAGGAGCTCCTAGCTCTGCTCACAGAAGAGGATGGTACAAATCTTGTATAGCAGAGAGGCTCTCTGGCTTTGGCTCCACAGCACACAGAGCTGGGATAGTTAATGGGAAAAGCGACACTCCTTCATGCTGGTGTATTTCCCAGAGACTGATGAAGCCTTGCCCCTCTGCAAAGGGCCTGTTGAAGAGCTGGAGTAAATACAGCACTGGTCATGAACAACTTCCTAGATCTCAAGGATCCCAGGGTCCTCCATAAAAGGGAGCAGCAGAGGCTGCTCCAGGAACAACAGAGAGGGAGTTCCCTCAGGGACTATCTGCATCCACACTTCATACCATTCCTTAAAAAGGTATAAATTGCTCCATCAAAGTGACTCTTCAGAATTCATATAAAATCCCAATCCTAGTCTAGTCTAACCTCCAAGGTTGTTACAGGCATGCAAATACCTCAAAACTAATGAGTCACTATCAACAAAATGTATTTGTTAGAAAAAGCCATTCAGTAAGACTGAACAGATAACAATAAAGCATTTAAAGTTAATTATTAAGCTCATATATCTTATATCTGATAAACTGAATGAAGTAATAATTTGATAATGCATTACAAGGAAAACTCTGACCTTCGAATTACAGTAAAAAGCTGTCAGTGATGTAATTGTGATTTAAAAGCAGCTAGCCAAGGACAAAACTTATTTAAGTTGGTGAAAGGTGATGCATTTTTTTCTCGTATATTCTCCAACCCTTAAAATGTCAACTTGTTCCACAAACTATTTTGGTGGCATTTGTGCTATACTGCAGTCGATACCAGTGATTACTATGAAGCAATCCTAAGAGAGAGGAACACACAGATTTTAGGAGCTACCATTTCAGAGGTTATGGCAGTGTGATGTTGCTTCATCTCACAGTGATTGGTAACAGTAAAAGGAGGAGGATCGAGAAAACAGAGGAAATATGCACAGCTCATATTCCCAACCAAACACAGAAAGCTATACGCATAATATGAATTGAGCTAGGAAATCTCTCCCTCTCTTCCCCCGAGTGACTTCCAGGAGAAGGGTATGAAGATTTTTCTTAAAAGCTCCGAACATTTTCAGGATTTTATCAGGCTTTTAGGGTGTAGGCAGGAAACTGCTGAGTCACTTTCTACCCTAATTCCTCCCAGAACTACCGAGAATCATCTCCTCCTCTTTTGCTGGCATGTGGGACAAAATCTTCAGAGACAAAGAAAACTGGATACACCCTGGGATGCCTCCTTCCTTTCTGTTAAATACTCTCGCTGCTCCACCAACCGGCAGGAGACTACATCTCACTCAGATTAAAGAAGAATCGTCTATTTCATTCAGCCATGTGTGAGCGTGCTTGTACGAAGCAGGTCTGGTAAAGAGCTGGCAAACCAGCCACACTAACACACCCCAAGATGAAATAAAGCATGTTCAGCAGACTTTTGCTCTCACTGTTGCTTCATACACAGTTTGAAGCTTTCTCAAATCGCACC